GTTAGAAGTACCTGACACTCAATACAGGGTATGCTATTTACACAAACGCGGCCGGCAAACATTCACGATGGCGGATTCTGAGCTATTGAACGTTCCAACGCGAAATACCGACATACCACCACAACACACATAGTATACCGCTTGCCGAGCTTTCTGTCGCGCGAGTGTCTCAGGAACTTCCGAGGGATAGGAAGGCAGGAGAGAGGCCCTTAGTGTGGGCAAAAAGGTACGGCAGGCCCGGCCAAACAGTTTCTGGGCCGGTGACACGGACATTCCCTCACTCGGTGTATTTCGCCACAATGGCCAATGAACTACATGAATACAATTGGTACGGAATAGCAATCGATGTTTTTACCGCTATAAGTAGGCATGCTATTTTTGTTCACCTGAGGTCAACTGCTTTTAGATAAAAAAGGAGGAAATTGACTGCGACGCGTGTGTCAAAATGACCATGGAAATGTTTTTGTAGTAGGTAATTCAGCTAATTTTATATCGATTTCATTATGCCTATGTTTTGACAATGGCGGGTACAGGAAGATATATTTTTTTTATATATTTGGCGCAACGCAACGGACTTGGGTAACATACTCCTCTAAAGTTTCTTGAATATCAGGAAACTCCTCATATTCCACTTCCTTCTCCTTTGCTGTGCAATTTGAAGCAAACTTTTCTTCATTTATATAGCTGTTCAGTTTCTTTCTATGCGGCGAAAACGATATCATTTCATGAAGTTCTGACGCTGCTTTAGAGTCAAATACCACAAATGGCTCCTTAAAATCCGTTACTGGATTGTGATAACTTTACTAGCCCGTGTTTGCCTGCTTCTATTGACACTGAATGACCAGCTGCCTGACCCGTTGCGTCTTTGTCTGCCGCGATGCGCATATCCAACCGACTCCGTGTGTTCAAAGTCGCCTGATCTGTTGCCCGTTGGACCATGACAGTGCTCGTTTTCCGCGGTGTTCGCCCGGCCAACCGCTGCCGGAAGCCGCTGTATACTGCCGCTCAGCTCTGGTCCTCGCTGTCTGCACGGCGCACACATCACGAGCGGGCTGACGCCGAGCTGGGGCCCGCGCCACCGCCGCCGCCGCCGGCTGAGCGCGCTCGCTCTCAGGGTCAGCCGATGACGTCACGGCGAGCTGCCGGCCGCGCTCAGGGCCGGCCGGCCGGTCAGGCTGACCCGGCGCCGCGCCGCGCTGCACTCAATGGTCCGCTCTGACGGCTGTCGGCCGGTTCGTGCCGCCTGGCAATCGGCGTGCCGAAAAAACGCCGGCCGAGACGGATGCTCGGTGGGGGGCGTGCTGGAGGGATGGCGGTGGGCTGGGCCACTACACCGTGCTGGAGGAATGGCGGTGCGGCTGGGCCGCTATACCGTGCTGGAGGGATGGCGGTGCGGCTGGGCCGCTATACCGTGCTGGAGGGATGGCGGTGCGGCTGGGCCACTGTACCGTGATGGCGGGATGGTGGCCGGCCGCTGTGCCTTTCCTTGCTGTAACTATGTCGCTGACCATCCCAAGGCTCGCAGAGATACAGCTCTGGCGAAAATGCGGTGTAGGTTACGTTGGCGAAGGCCACTGCCACTACAAGCAATGTAATGTTGGCGCTGACTAAGCTGATGGCGTGAGTCGTTCCTCGCTTTACGCAGAGCTGCAGTGCAACCCTCCGTCACATTTAAAATGGCACAGAGCTACAACCAGATACCGATTAGTGGCCGTCACTTACGGAGAGCTGACGCAGAACCGGCCGTCAGTGACACAAAGGTAGTGGCGTACCGTCCACGTCGTCATTGAGAGCTGGCAGCAAATCAATTACAGGGCGGCTAAAACGTGAAGCGTTCTACATACTCGTACATTGCTAATCCTTTCGGGCCGGTGCAAAGAGCTCTGGTGACCATCAAGTCACCGGAAGAATCGCATTTTGTAAAGAGGTACAATTGAATACAAAAAGACGTATGTATGACCTCGTAACAAAGCAATTTACGTCCTTCGTTGACATTCTCTAGCCCGCAAGTGCTCCTTGTTCATTGAACCGCTGCAAACGCGGTTGCAATATATTCGACAATCAGCTTTCGCTCCACGATAGAGTGATCTCAATTAATCAGCTCACTTTATTGCACGTCAGTGTAGGGGGGGGGGGTCGAGCTGCAATGCCTCCCTGTTGCATATTTTCATCGCTCCAACAATTTCGACACGGGTCTGTGTCGGTGCTTCTGGCTGCCGCAGGGTCCGTCTGGCCAGTTGCCGTCAGGACGGGTTACGACATGAGACTGAGGGGCCGGTGAGAGCCGCGGGCTGCGGCTGCCACCGATCGGGAACAGACCGGACCCCCACCGATGGATGGTTCCCGTCGAGGGCGACGCAGTGCCGGTGTCGATGACGTCTTGGTCGACACAAACGCCGTCAGCACCGTCCCGTCATCCCAGGTGGAGAGCGCCGCGCGCCCGCGAGTGCTGCATGACTCCCGGCGCCGGCCGGCGCGCCGACCGAGGTCAGCCGAGTCGTGAGTCATGACTCCGAGTCGGTGCCAGGCGCCGGCCGACTCGGAGGCCCCGCTCAGGGCCGAACCCCTCCCCTCCCATCACTCCCCCCACACTGCGCTGCAGCAGCGATGGCGGCCGGCGGCGCTCGAGTCGCCTGACTCGAACATGGCCGCTGACTCGGAGTCAGAGCCGGCGGCCGAGTCACGGATCCTTTCCAAACATGGCCGCCCGACTCCAGAGTCAGGGGCCCTGCAAGGTTGGAGCCGACTGTGGCCATGCGCTGGAACTGGCAGCGCTGAGTCTACTGAGCAGCGCGGCAAAAAACAAAAAATGTGAAAAGAAACATTGGATGAGAGCAGGAAACAGCATGGGACATAAAAAGAAGACGTGATGTTTAACAAAGAGAATATAAAAAACGATTGAGGTAGGTATACCTATTGACGGTTGACCTATGATATGAAGCGATGAAAAATCAATAAAAAGCAGCGAGAGACAGCAAGAAGTGACTGGGGAGATCACTTCTGGTGATCATACATCTGCAACTTCATGTAGCAGAGAACAGAAGCTGCATATTCAGGTGGAGACACCTACATTACATATGTTGCAAACCAACCTATGCAAGTTACAGCATGCAATGAGTTAGTTCCACGATAGTTTTAGTGCGGCGATAACACTTTATGTCAACAGTGCTAAGATCCTTAATCAGCACCAGTTGCATTCACGGTTCACCAGTCGAATCTATCGCCGCTCTACCTGTATCGTGTCTATCCCTGATTCCGTGGGGAGGTTTGTAGTTTTGGGCTGCTGGGAGAATCAAAGTCACGTCACTATGTCTGTTTGTCTGTCTATCTGTCTGTTCATCTGCCTGTCTTGCGATCTGTCTGTGCATCTGTCCGTCTATCTTTCTATCTAAAGGCCTGTTTGTCTGGGTAATTGCATACTGTCTACATGTTTGTTTCTCTGTCTGCCTGTCTATTTTTTATTTGTCCGTGTGGCTGTGTGCCAATCTTGCCGTCTTACACCCGCCTGTCCATCTGACTGTGTGAAGTTAACTACATGTCTGTCTGCCCAACTGTCTGTCTATATGAGCGTAAAATCGCCAGCGCATTTTAGTGCGGCTGCTGCTGCTAACCGCTAGCGTTACTCATCCGTTTGACACGGTCTAATGATACGATGTGGCACATGACAGCGTGACTCTGCTGATGTAACCTGCATTAGTTCCAGTGAAATGGACTGACACAGGACTGCGCGACCGCCCAGCCCAGGTCTACTGACGGTTGGATTACAAAATATAGCTTGGTAGATTCAGATCTAATCAGATTTACCTAATGGTCGTTAAACTACATATTGCTGCTCGTAAGAAATATTTGCTTTCTTTCTACTTTATATGTATGTTCATGCTTAGCTAGACGTGTTTTTATAAACACCTCGTCCGTACGCAGCATCATAATGAGCTACATGTTTGCGTGGAGCCGACCTCTCCAAATGAGCGCCTGCTGGACGTTATCTCCTGGATCCGTGACGTCATCAGGGGGCCAGTGTTACCAGGCGGTCGGCGACACGGTCCAGGTCCTGTCCGTCTGCTGACGTCACTGCCCGCTGTATACAGACATACAGACGGGGCGCCGAGCAGCGGTCCGCGGCCGCTCCCTGCCCCGCCCCTGTCTGTCACGGACTCGCCGCGTCGTGGGACGAGGTGTGCTCCCTCGTGCGTGCCGTAGTACGGTGCCGGCCCCACCCATCTTGCGTATAGGTGTGCCATGATCCGTAATTATCGGTGGATGACAGTTGTGACTTGTGAGGCTTCAGCACAGGCATCAGAGATGAATGTAACTTTATGATCAACGAATATATGTGATCACTTCGTTTTTTTTTTTTTACAGAATCACCGTACTTTTTTGAAGAATGCCTAGGATTATGTCTTGTTTATAAGCATTCGCATGTGACAGGCACGTTTTCATGGTTAGTGGAAAGTTTTTCGTGCCGACTTATGCTGGATTGGAGTCGTTGTCTTTTGCCATTAATCGTGGTCAGTGTGTCTTCTGGTCTTTGTCCCTACGTTATAGTCTGGCATCGTTACACATTTGTGACATCGTTCAGACGTAAATAAACGGAGCAGACACTGCAGCAGAGCAGCCGTTTCTTATTATGAATTTGGAATGTTTCAAACCATTATTTCAACATTTCACTAACAATTTACCAGTGCATACCTATTGTTTGCCGATATTGTATTGACGTAAAAACACGCTGATTATTAGCTGTCAGTTGTAAATGAAAAGCGCTGCAGCATGGTGTTAATCAATCGTTTGAATCAATCAGAACCACTGACTCAGATCGTGTGACATAATATCATATACGTATGTTTGAGTGGAATATCATTCGTGTATCGATTCGTCTTGCTACTACCTGGTTTGCCAGTAGCCATCTAGAGAACGGATGACAGAGCTTGTGCCCTATCGGTGCGTGGGCCGATTTTTCTCTCGCCCCATCAGTCCTCGATCTTTCACACACACAAAACAACTATATACTAGTAAATTTATTATGAATGCGTCGCTCTCGCTCACCAGCACACCATGAGAAAATGCACTCACTCAGTCCGCTACCCAAGCGAGCCCCTTGAAACCCCATGACATGTAGCTCTCCCCAATGCAGTAAAAAGCAGAAAACGCAAGCGTCGAAACAATCACGCGACGAACTCAGCTAAAAACAAGCCTCAACTTAGCTAGCTCATATCTATACCACTAGCGAAGCCAATTCGCCGACAGATTAAAACATAACACGAAACTAAGTCAACAGTATCCCGCTCATCGCGCAAACACGCATACGATAAAAACGTGGCCGAGCTTTCGTCAAATGGTTCCGAAGATAGGTAACACATTTCAAGCCACATCGCGGCACAATCGAACGTTTTGTTTCACTCACTTCACACTATCAATCGGTCACACGATAAGAGGCAGTTATGCTCACATCATACCACTTCATACGACCAACGCGATGCTACACTTGGAGGTGTGCGCTTACGTGTTTGTATGTCAGGGCGTTCGCTCACGCGCATCAATGTTGTGTGATGTGTGGGAAGGTTTTTAGACGTGCACACAGGAGACATTTGTGATCTGAGACGAATTGCAATTATCTGACGCATACATTTTATGTTCACACGCTATTCATACTACCTTGCAAACAACAAGCGGCGCGCAATGCACGGCGATGGCCATTCACTCCTCTGTCACGCATATAAGCTAACACCTTACTTTACAGTGGCCTTACACCTACATCGGCTAAGCCTAAAACCATCCGCTCCCACGATATACACCAACTATCACTCCATGACAAAAAACATCCCCACACATGTAAACCATGCACGCCTACACAACGAGGTGCAGTACCTACGCAGGAAAACAAGCCACAATCCTCTTATGCCCCTCCCCCGTCCCAAAATGCGCGCTTCAGTTCCTCTGACTCAGCGCTCACCCGACTCAGCCTGGCGTGAACCGAGCACAAACCGATGGCAAGCGATGCTTTAGCGCCGAGCGCCGGCTGCCCAGCGAGCGCTCCGATAGTGGGCACGCAACGAGTGGCAGCGCAATGCCAGCAGCTTGAGCAGATATAACATTTGTGGTCCCTCGTTTTTCACAGCACGAATTTCCCCCGAATACATTGGTGAGGCAGCGAAAACCTTCCCAGCGACCAGCAGTGGTCGGTTCGGTCCCTTACGACCCGGGACGGCGTGGTACGGCTCGGTGCGACCCGTACACGTCACGGTACGGAGCAGTACAGTCGGCACGGCAGTTCAGCCGTAACCTGCGGCCTACAGACGGGACTCCGGGTTCCCGGTCACACCAAAGGACGGCCCTGGACCATAGCCTCATCACGAACAGATCACAGAGTGTGTTCTACTTCTCCTCCTCCTCCTCGCCACAGCGGCAGGGCACGGTATCGGCCCACAGATCATAGCAGGCGACCAGCGCTTCAAACACCGCGACATAAAACACTCTTCACGAGACGCCGCGAAGCCGAATCTAATGCATCATCACAACATCAAAACTAAAAATAAAAATGTGTATATAAAGCGGCTGGCGCGTCTAGTGGCGAGTGCGGGCCACCGCGCGGGGCCAGCCCGGCGGAACGGCCCTCTGCCTGTGTAAATGGTCCCGGCGAGGCCGACACAGCGGCCAGTCGGAGCCGGTGTGTAATACTGCGGACGGGGGCGGGCAGTGCCCGTCCGGCGGCTGCGCGGGGCGCCTTGGATGCCGCTGACTGCGGCTCGGCACGGCTCGGGGGCCGGCGGCCGGCGGCAGCGGCAGCAAGGCGCGCGCAGCGCACACCTGTCTCGCTTGGAGCTTTTTTAGAACAAAAAAGCTCAAGCATTTGACAGTCTGTTGGCAGGCTCCGAACTGGACATGGCTGGCGTTTGTATGTATGTACTTGTTACCCTGAGATCCATTACGATTGGCGTAGTGGTCGTCCTGCCTGTAGCGACCTGAGCGCTGGGCTAACTCCCGACGCGAACGAGCGCGCCGGACACCTCTGCGACGTGAGGGCCGCTAAACGGAGGCACGCTTATCCTTTGGCTTTGGAGTTGGAAGATCACTCGGTTGGATAGATTTAGACGTCTACCAATTTACAGTGCGCGGAGTTTGTTGGCCAGCCTGGGCCGATGTGCGCGCGTCTCTGCGCTGAGCGGTGCGGTGCGGTGAAGTGCGGTGCGGTGCGGGGGTCTGGCCAGGTACCGTCAGCCGGGTGGAACAGCAGGAGAGCCGGACAGGGCCGCCACGTGTCACAAGCGGCCCGTTTTCCGCGCGGCCACACACTGATTGCCTGACTTTCCTCGGATAAGATAGGGCTCAGCGGCGCTCACATGCGGACACGATGGTAGCGGCACATGGGAAAACGGGCGCTGCGAGCGAGACGGCGCCGGGACAGTGGCTGAGCGGCCGGCGCCGTCAGCACCGAGCTCGTCTGGTGCGGCAGGGCTGTTCGCTGGTCCGGTACAGGTTGGAAACTGGCTGTGCTGCTGGTTTGATGTATGGTGGAGTGGGGTGCAATGCCGGGCTGATGGATTGAGGAGTCGGTCTGCTTTGCTGATCTGGTGACAGGCAGAAAAGAGCTGTTTGATGGATTTTTGAATGTTTGAAATGGTTCTGCCTGTTCGGCGACCAGAAAAGGATGCACACCCGGCTGGCCTGGTGGATGCTGTAAAGAGGCTGCACTTTTAGGCTGCAGTGGTTGCTGGTATTGACCTGCGCGGCACCTGATCGATGGTGAAATTGGGCCACGTTGCTGAGCTGGTAGGTGATGAAAGCTGCCTGCATTGCTGGTTTGGGGCAGGATGCAAATATCAGTCCACAGCTGACAAGGTGGATGATGGAATTCAGCCAAACTGCTGGTCTGGTGGAGGATGATATTCAGTTGCTGGCCTGGTGGATAGTGGAACAAGGCTGCACTGCTAGCCTGGCTGGTGGATGATAGAATTCAGCTACACTGCTGGTCTGGTGGATGATGATATTCAGTTGCTGGCCTGGTGGATAGTGGAACTCGGCTGCACTGCTAGCCTGGCTGGTGGATGGTGGAATTCAGCCAAACTGCTGGTCTGGTGGATGATGATATTCAGTTGCTGGCCTGGTGGATGGTGGAACTCGGATGCACTGCTAGCCTGGCTGGTGGATGATGGAATTCAGCCAAACTGCTGGTCTGGTGGAGGATGATATCAGTTGCTGGCCTGGTGGATGGTGGAACTCGGCTGCACTGCTACCCTGGCTGGTGGATGATGGAATTCAGCCAAACTGCTGGTCTGGTGGATGATGATATTGAGTTGCTGGCCTGGTGGATAGTGGAACTCGGCTGCACTGCTAGCCTGGCTGGTAGATGGTGGAATTCAGTTACACTGCTGGTCTGGTGGATGACAAAATTCAGCTTCTGGGCTGATGGACGGTGGTCTGCACTGCTGGCGTGGATGGTGGATAGTGGAATTCGGTTCATTGCTAGCCTTGTGGATAGTGGAATTGGTATGCACGGTCAACCTGGTGGATGGTGGAATTATAGGTTCATTGCTAGCCTGGTAGACGATGTAATTGATCTCCACGACTGGCCCGATGGACTGCAGTCAATGAACGGCACTGGTTTGGGATGTTGATCGCCGTTTGACTCCACGGAGCTGTGGTTTGGAGGGATGGACATTGAACATCTCTGTATATTGACTGGCAGCACATAGCTTCAGCAGACCTGAACCATAGCTGTGGATGGACGGGCAGCAAAAGACCGGGAGGACGGGCAGCTGAGGATTGGCAGGCATATGCAGTTGAGGAAGGACCGGACGATACTTCTGACGGTACGTCTGGTAAGCAGAGCCAGCAGAGGCCAGAGCGCACGGCGCACTTGTTATCAAACAAAAACAGGAGATAGTTCTACTCAGTCAGGGAATGATGTTTACCGGAAGCTAGCCTACGCCTACAGTTAGTGTGTTCTTTGAATTACGTCTTTGTGGTTGGCGTTATTGTCAGTAGGTTAGCCATTTACAGTAACATATAAAGCTTGTACCAAAATTGTACACCACTGTGAAGCCTTCATCTGGGCGTCAAATGCAAAATGGCACCTCGTAAAATTACTCACAGCTACTCAGCACAGAACAAGAACAACGACGCCTAACAAGCAAGACAGCTCTTTCTTACGGACAATCATTCGCTTCTATTCTCGTCCACGGCACTTGACAAATATTCGTGCCTTATCATCCTCTCTCACCTCTCTGCCCAAACGTCACCAGAATAACATATCTTCAGAAGTCACGGCCGCATAAAGCCATCTGTGGCACTTGAAATTATACCTTTTGTGGAATGTATAAATCACAGCATGATGCGTATTGCACACAGATGATGGCACAAAATGTTGAACTGAATGACTGAACCATGATGAACTGTGGAATGACTGAACTGAAGTGCCGCTCTGCACTGGCTGGGCGGGTGCCCAGCTATGTATGCCTGTGAGTATTGAACACGATTGCCGAGCGGGGCAGGGGCCGAGGTCAGACGCGACTGGCGCGCTGGCTCGGCTGAGATGGCCGCGACTGTGGCGGACGGTCGTGGGGGACACGCGGGAGCGGACGGCAGCACCGCCGGTACTCGGTCGGTCTGGGTGCGCGCGGGGGCGGCGGTCAGGTCAGGTCAGCCACCGGCGGCCGCGGCGGCCTGGCGGGGCGGCGGCGCGCGGAGCGACTCCGCCGCGGGGACACGGGCCCGGCCGGCGCCGGCGCCGACTGCCGCCGAGCGCGCTCTAAATACAGACATACTGCGCGCAGTGCGCGTACGTCCCGGGCGCGGCACCATACGGAGGGCGTCCGTACGTGGTGTGCCGGCCCGCGGCGCGACAGTGGCGGTCAGCAGCCGTCTCTGTCGCGGGCGGCGCGGCGGCGGACGGCGGACGGCGGGCGGCGCGGGCGGCGTCCCCGCGGGGAGGGCGGCGCGGTGCGGCCGACCCGGGCGGCGGCGGCGGCGGCGGGGCGATACCTGAAGACTGGCCACCGGCACCGGCGACACTCCAAGAGTCGCCTCATCGGCCCAGCGGCTCGGCCACTGGGTCTCATACGGCCGGCGGCGCGGCCGGTGCGACACCCCTCAGGGCAGCCGCGCCGGCCGCAGCGCCGGCCCCGGCGACCCGACTCGGGTCCAGCGGTGACTGCCCGTCAGCAACCGGCTGTCAGTGTACGACGGTCGGCACAAGAGGCTGCCCTCGTCTGCTGCTACGGACAACTGTGAAAATGATCAATTGGCACATGTATGGCACTTAGTGCAGCGAGCCTCTTCTTTGATTTGATTTGATATGGAGCTTACGGCTTAGATCTGATTTTGATGCACTTCTTATTGTTTGGTGACACTTTCCCTAGAAACACATGTAACCCTTTTCCTCCTACAAACCATTCGTACACTTTTTCATGCACCTTATCACCTATCAAAATCCACATCACTAACACTATGAAGTCTACCTACCGCTCGAATCCCCAGCCCGCCCCTCTCGGTACATCTGCAGCGGTGCCGCTGACCTGTGCGGGGCACCTTCCGGAGCGGGCGTCTCCCTGGACGCCCCTCCCGCCGCCCGCTGCTACTTCTTCGCCTTGGGCTCGTGTCGTTTACGATGCAGCGCCAGATGATCGGAGCGGCCGAAGGCGCGATGGCAGGTTTTGCAGACGAACGGCTTGGCGCCGGTGTGTTTGCGCACGTGGCGCGTCAGCTCGTCGGAGCGTGCGAAGCTCCAGTTGCAGTTTTCCCACGAGCACAGGTAGGGCTTCTCGCCTGGGAACGGAGCGGACGGGTGTCAGCTGGGCCGGCGGCGGCTCAGGGTGGGGTGAGGGCCGCGTCAGGGTCACTGGCATGTGCAGGATGTAAATACAGACGTCTGGCGCCGGTAGCGCCCATGATACACACACGACAGACATACTGCATTTTTGTAACATAATCAATAAAGTGGCAGTCTTATGGATTGCATATGTAATAATATCGGGTAATTATGTCGTTGTCACTTGTCAGCAATAAAAATGCAATTATTCGTTATCTGTTCCGTCTCTGCAGCTCCCTGTCTGAAAGCGACCATCGAGTTCTGATCTCATTGACACTCCTAGGCCTTTCGTAATTCGAACGCTTTCTGAACCCTCGGTCACCGATCGTCGCGCGGCACAGATCACAGAGCGGGCTCGGCGATATCTTAGAACGGTCCAGCGGCCACTGCCACCGGCTGGCTCCGCTGAGTAAACACCTTCTGTCAAACGGGCAATGTTGCAGGCCCTGATGGCCGCTACGAGCATTAACAGACCGGTCCAGTATAAACAGCTAGGAGGGGATCACAAATAATCAGATCGGCCCGGTGTGGCCCCGCCTTACGGTCCGAGCATGTGACCCCCGTGCAATGTGCCAGCGCGTCGAGATCGAAAATAGCCATTGCGGAACGGCGGCAATTGGGTCACGGGACTGTTTGATGGTGACGAGTGATAAGTGTTGGAGGCGGCTCTGCAAACCCGCCGATAGCGGCAGCACAGATCTATCAATAGAGTAGTTGATCTATACGCTACTATCGCTGCTTGGCGGTGAGCTGATAGCGTATAGTGCCCTCCGAGCCGTCGCCGTCCTGTCTTCCGCGTCAGGATCGGCCGCCGCCGGCCGCCGACCGCTCAGCTGCAGTCCGAGCGCCGCCGATCGGCCGGCGGCGCCGCGCCGCGCTGACATCACCGCCGAGGAATGCGGTCTGACGACCGGTGCGCCGCTGCACGCCGCAGACTGCGCCGCATACGCCACCGGCGCGCCGCGCGGCGCCGCGCGCGAGCAGTGCACCGGCAGCCATGAGCGGAGAGGAAAGGTGCAGGTGCACCATCCGAGCCAGGCCGGCTATGTGGGGTTATGGAGGACGCAGCAGCGGTCGACTGGCATGGGCTGCGGTGCGCCGGAGGCAGCCCTGCGCTTACAGACGATTAGTTGCTCTGAATACTGCGGTGGGCTCGAACGCCTCGGGGTCTGGTTGCTCTGCGCTCACCATCTCTTGAAAAATGGTTTCGAGATAAATGGACATCCTTTTGAAATTTGTTTTCATTTAACTCGACGAGTAATTGGAATACGCCTCAACGATTAACGATTAAATTAAGTCACTTATCAAAAGTCAGAATTTATTTTATCTTCGGTTTTGCCTCAGTCTTGGCTTGTAAAAACGAAATGTTTTAGTCGAGATCAACAGCGTCGGTCGTCAACTTGGGAATAGCGGAGGCTTCTGTAAACAACTGCCTCAATTTCGAAGAAACACTTACGATGCATGACGTATGACTTCAGAGCGACAAGTCGATTCGTTTGCTTCTCAGTAGAGGCAAATGATAAACATAGTGGTTTTTATTCTACTTCGAAATGTCGCGCGTTTTATCATCATTATTTGTAAAGACCTTTTAAAAAAGCAGTTTCCGTTCCGTCAATGGGACACGGTACAAATAACCTCCACTATAAATTGGACTAAGATACATGACATTCACGACATATATCTAGGTTAATTTTATCTCCTTCGGCCGTTTAGCCACATTCCAGTCGTCACCTGGAAAATATCGGCGAAAGTGCCGTGCGGTGGCCGGTGTCCGTTTTCAGCGGACGTCGCGCGACTCGAGCTCTCAACTGTCGGCGGCCGGCCGGACGCTATTTATACCGGCACGGGATGACATCATGCCGCTCCGTGAGCTGAGAGAGCTGCAGCCGCCGCGGAGCGCCGGCGGCACCTCATCTGCATGCAGAGGGCAGCGGCCGCCGCGAGACGCCGCGCCGCCGCCGAGCCCGTAGTGGCGGCCCCGCGCGACTGGCGGGCCGCCGCAGCCCCGCAGTTCGACGCTAAAGTGGACCCGTGACGAGGAATGACAGTTGACGACCGGTGTTCGGTCTTCGTTAGAACAGTGCTCGGCAGGAGGACCAGAGAGGTTCTCCATGCGTTCCATAGTGGCACGTTCGGTCAGCAAATCGACTTTCTAAAGTGTCTGCAAGTCATTCCTCTACTTTCTCTGTGTCACGTTTAATTCGTGATTGGCTGTGACGGAGCCGATGGGCCTTAAAGCGATCCGTTGTGTCTTAATGCTATGCAAAAATGTGTTGATTGAATGTACTATGATTTTTCACCGTCACTTATGCGCCATGGTGCATATTACTATCATGCATGCATGTATGCAATGCGAGAAGATTGTGCACATTAGTGTCGGTAAAAATCATGGGCGGTCGAATCAATACGTTTAAATATATACCCATAATCGTGTTTCGGCTTAGAACCTGCCTAGAGAAAGGCGGCCTCGCGTGCATACATTCCTCCGACATGCCGATCGGTGGTGAATCTTAAATTAGCTTCCGGGAAAGCTGGGCTGTTAACCGCTAGCGCAGGTAGTTTGAAAGACAAAGCGCCCGCGCGTCTGCCGGAGAGGCCGTCAGTTCGGAGCGCGATGGATTGGCACTGAGCCGCCGACGGCCCGTGACTTTGCGGAGAGACTTATGTGGTGTCCTGTCTCGGAGCAGGGACTGGTCGGAGATCGGCGTAACTGCGTCCGTCACCACCACAAGACGTGCGCTGCGTCCGAGAGGAGACGGTTCCGCTGGCATAGCTTCGATCCCTGCGGTGTTGTGTGGATTTCACAGGACAACCTTTTAGTCTCAAAGGGAATCGTTAGAAGTATGACGAGCTGGATCAAATGACTGATGTGGATCATGCTCGATGTTTCAAGAGTTTTGTTTTCCGTCTAAAAATAAATGTAGTGTGGATTATGAACATCAGAATAAAGCAACCGAGCACGGACAACATGTACGAACAGCATGCGCCTCACCTGTATGGGTTCTCTGGTGCGCCTTGAGATGTGAGCTCTTCGTGTACACCTTGGTGCAGCCTGAAAAAAGACAGCCATTCTCACGTAAGTACCACAGATATCTATCCCGCTCAGATGTCGGTGATATAATATCTGCAGATTGCAAGTCACCGAGGTATTTGTGAAGGATTTCACCTCCAGCCGAGCAAATACGGTCGTATTTCTGCAAGCTGCCCGTGTCAGACAGTCTCGACATGATGCCGTAAATGTATCAACCTCATGGGAACTGAGCTTAACTGGCCGTGAGCCGCATGTGACTAATTCAGACTGGGTGCGCGGACCGTTAGCATAATCCCGAACACACCCAGCAAACACCTGTTTTCAGCCGTGACTCACTTTCCCGCACGGCACATTATCTAGGCATGCACCGCGTCACGTAACTAGACTAAAGCTGGGTGTGAAACTGGTCCAAGAACACGATTATGGTGATGCTTCGGTACACTGTTCTAGAGAACTCGGTGGTCCTGCCGTTCCCCTCCCCGGTGCCCGTCAGCGACCGCTCTCTCTGTCTTTCTCTCTCTCTCTCTCTCTCTCTCTCTCTCTCTCTCTCTCTCTCTCTCTCTCTCTCTCTCTCTCTATCTCTCTCTCTCTCTGTCCTCACCTGTGAAGTGGCAGCGGTGGATGCGCCTCTTCTCCAACTCGGGGTTGTTCCGGCGGTTGTAGCGGCGCGGCTCGGTGGCCTGCGGCGGCGCTATGCTGGTGGCCGCCGTCGGAGCCGACAGGTGCCTGCCGTCGACAGCGGCGGCCAGCGGGTGGTGGTGCGGTGTCGGCGCCGGCGGCCAGCCCACGTGGCGCCGGTAGGGGGGCGGCGGCGTGCGCCGGCCGGCGGCCGCCAGCTGCTCGGGGCTGGCCGAGCCGGGGTCAGAGTGGGGCGGTGTCGGCGGCAGGTAGCAGCGCAGCGGGTACGGCGGCCCGCCCCCGTACCCCGCCGGGTGGTAGCCCTGGGTCGGAGGAGCCCCGAAACCCGACGGCATCCTGTACACGCCCGGCTCGCACTTGATGTGCGGCGGCGGCGGGTGCGGCGGCGGCGCGGCCGGAGCCGTGAACTCGAACCGCGGCTCGGGCGGCGGCAGCGCTGAAGGGTAGAGCGGCGGCAGGGGCGCCTGCACGGGCGGCAGGCCGGCCAGCGGCGCCGGCTCCGGCTCCGGCTCCGGCTCCGGCTCCGGCTTGACGAACACGTCGTCCTCATCTCGGCCGTGCAGCGCCGACAGAATGGCTGTGAACGACGAGCGCCGCCGCGCCGCCGACGTGAAAAACTCGTCGATCTGCGAGGCGGACTCTCTGCGCGGCTGGTCGGCCATCTCCATGTAGTTGTCGGGGAGTGTGTCCATGTCGGTCCCCTCGGGCGGGTCGAGGCGCGGCGGGCCCCAGCTCTTCTGCAGAACTGTGCTCATCTCGTCCCCTGCCTGCCGGACAGTGAAAAGAAAAGGTCAGTAGGGACGGGGCCGAGATACGGGACGGCTGACTGATATATGACTACCGACATTGAGTTCGCATTCTGAAAGCATATCGGTTTGTTTACTGACAGTTTGTTTTACTATTGACTCAGCAGAGATTGTCCTAATCTCAGACCTCCTACGAAGCCACTCTTCCTTCGGAACGTCCGTTTGAGCGGGCCAGCTCTTGACATATCAGCAATATCAAGTGCCTCTCACAATTACGAATGATAAGTAGCTCGTGAATAGTGAAACTGCTCTTGGCTGCGAAACAGCAGCGTAACCATTTTCATCTACATCCATTAAGTGACTCAATAAAGTAGCTGATGTTTAATTAAAGGCTCCGATCTCGGATCGGTCAGTCCTCGTCATGTTGCGATATCGCGGCGTTGCGTCATCCCCAGAAGCACGCGTTTCGTTTCGTCACGTCCAGCGCTTTCGGTTCTAGATCATGATCTCTGGCGCGGGTCGCAGTGGGTGTCCGGACACACACTGGGATCTTTGATACGTGAACTGAAAGCCGCAGCCAGACTTCGACGTGAAAGGTGCTTTGTAAGCTGAACAGCTGCTCAAAACTCGGGGGAATGAAAGGGCGACAAGATCAATGCCTTATACGACACTCAGTGGCCCATTCAGCCGCCTCCCGCAGACTTTGATTGGGTGGATGATTGGTTGTGTCGTCTAGAAATAAACTATCAAATGTCTCCGGCATTGGTAGTGTCAGGTATGTAGATCGCTGTCCGCCCACCGCCGGTGACGTGGCCCTGCAGGAGCTAGACACTTCGCCTGTCGGTCTAGTGCCAATTGTGAGGCGGGTGTGCTTTGGAATTAGGAGACGGCAGTCTTGTGCTGTGGGGACCACCTGGTTTCCTAATTCCTTTTGACTCTGTCATCGTATTACCTGATCTTGTCGCCCTTTCATTTGCACCTGAGTGCTGGAGGAGCGGCACCCTTCTGCACGGCCCCACAGTGCACGGCCCGACAAGCTGTTGCATCAGGCTGGCATGGGTTAGGTCTCCCGGCGGTGCCTCCGTCACAGCCGCCGTCGGTAAAGAGACGTTTACGTCATGACTGAGACAGGTATGCAGCGCTGCATACAAACACAAACGGAGGAAATGTGAGCTGGACGGCATTTACGAGCGTCTCACTAGCGACAAAGTGTGATCCCTCTAAACGTATCGTCAATGCGATGGGAAACTTCAGCACGCATACGTCCACGCCCCGGCATACACCCACGCATACGACCACGCATACGCCCCCCCCACACACACACGCACCCACTGAACAGTCTCAGTGGTCGCCCACTCGCTGTCAGAGAAGGAAAGTCGCTTGTCTGTCATCCAGCTCTAAAAATGTTTGATCACACAATGCGCTCTGTCTATCAGGAACGGGATCTCTCCACTTGATAATGGGGCTAGATTAATCAATTTAAACGTTGAGCAGCAAATGTCACTGACTTTGCAAATCTGGACAGTTAAATGGTATCGAGCTGAACTAAATTGAATATGAAATCGAAATCATTATTTCAATGACCTCTAAAGTCATCATTACTTCATGCATTGAACCGGAGTAGTCACGCAAAGTTCCGTATAAGAGGCATGCAATACCGAGTGAAGATAAGAGTTCCATTGGAGAATCGGGAAACACTGAACTGGCACGCCGTGTTTTGTGGAATGTGATCCACCAATTCGTGTGCAGAATGCAAATTAACACCGAACACATCTGAGAGCGCGGTTGGATGAACGACAGACGTGGAGCAGGTCGGGTGGGGGGGGGGGGGGGTCGCAGCCTGTCAGCTCGGCTTGGGTCAGTGTTTAGATGACCAGTGGAATTAACACCGCAGTGCAGTGGGTGAAATAGGTGGATGGTATTATGTACGATAGGTCTTCTGATTTGCTGGGGCAGTGATATCGCTCATAGTAGAGCAAGACGTCAGTTTTTGGTGGTCGTATCGATGAGTGGATGGGGGGCGTTGAGGGGGGGGGGGGCACCAACAACACCGTGCGTCAGGGTTTGCTTCAGTCAGTGCAACGAGCATGTCTCATCAGCATTGTTCATATGTACTATGATGCACACAAGCAATAAGCATAATATTTACTCATTTTACAGATCAACAGTCGCCTTACAGTTTGGTACACCGGGGTTCGAAGCATTGACAAAAATGTTCAGTGAAAGTTGTGAGAGTTTCTTACCGGAACGTATAATCTCACTACTGCTTCGCTATTTACCGTTAGGCAGCTGTGGGCGGGTCCACTACTCATATGCTTACATACGGTTATTGTGTGGGCGGTTACCCACCTGCTCCGCTGCCGTGAATGGATGTATTACTTACCTTTCGTGCCGTCGTGGGCGGGTTTGTTTCTTACCTCTTGTTCTACCGTGAAGGAAAGCTTATTTTGTTGCTCACCTGTTGTGCTGCTATGGGCACGTGTCACTCACCTGTGGTGCTGCTGTGGGCGGGTTTACTCACCTGTTGTGCTGCTGTGGGCGGGTGCATCATGTGTGTGCGCTCCGACATAAACTCTAACGGCGGCGACGCACTGGGCACCAGCTGATCATGCGCTCCGGAGCCCGTCAATCCGTCAACGTGGTACGTCAGCAGCATCGTCAGCCGAACAGCAATCCGCGCCGCACCGTCTCTCTCTGACTGTCTGCCCGCTCGCTAGCGCTCTCTCTCTCAGTCTCTGGCGCTCGTTCTCCCCGATCCGCAGGCTGCCCGGACCGGTCACAGCAGAGGCGACCAGCGCTCTCCGATTCAGACGACTGACTGACGTGCCCGCCGAGCCGGCCGCCGTCGTGCTCGGCCGTGGTGCGCATGCGCCGTGTCGCGCCGCGCCGATATGAATGGCTACGGCCGGCCGGGGGCGGGGCGGCGCGGCGGCGGCGGCCGGGAGAGGAGATAGCCGCCGCCGCCGCCGCCGCCGCCGCCGCCGGCCGCCGCGCTCCGTACCTGGCGCCGCCGGAAGTAGACCAGGTGTCACGGCGGGGGCGGGGGCGGGGGCGGCTGCTCTGGAGGCCCGCCGCCGCCGGCCGCGGAAGCTCAGCCTTCCGCCGGAGCTGCGAAGACAAACGGTCGGCAGCCTGGCAACTGGCCGGATGTACATATTAAGGTGCCGTGCTCCTTCACGACCGTAACGATCATGGCATCGATTTAGGATTGTGAGCCAGCTTGCAGTCGTTTTTGTATCTATTCGGAGATGAGTCGCAATGCTCTTAGCCAGTGGCGGTGGTTTTTACATGCTCAGGTGTTCGCTATTGCTGCATCGCTCAGAAGTCCATATTTTTATAGCAATGTTATCGGCATCACTGAACAAATCTTCCGATGCATCTTTCCACGAGCCAAGCAAATTTAGAATCGAGGTCGCTCATTGTCAGGTCACTATAGGTCACTCACATGAATACTGAAAATGCAGCTTCGACCTCACTTTTATCTCCCTGAGTTCATGAGAGGTCACAAAAAGTTTTTTTTTTATAAAGACTTTGATGTTAGGTCACTAGTTTGACATAAGGTGATATTTTACCGTTAACCTTTTGAGGTCAAATCATAATTCATTTGACGCAACTTAACGAGGGACACGATATCGTTAACCCTATTAGTGGCAGGGGGGGGTTGTTTTTATCCACCCCTCAGGTTTTTCGGGAATATCTCCGAAACCGCTGAAGCTACGATGCTGAAATTTTCTGACTTTTCCTAAAACTAAATTGGGCACATTCCCTGAAAATTTCAAGTTCATAACTTTACCAGGGGCGGCTCCAGAGCACTGGGAATTGGGGGGTCCTATTCGTGAAGCGAGTCATTTGGGCGAAGATCACGATGCTGCACCAGTTTTACGAACAGTGAATGAAAGGTATCATGTGATAACATATACAGTTATTGTGCATCCTCTTTTGACACGTTTTTGCTATAATAGGCGGATCCAGGCGTCCAAAAAGGGGGGTTATGTTTTACCTCCCAACATAGGTGCCCTGACACCGCCTATGCATTACCAATACAATTTTAGTCGTTCTCTCATAAGAAAATTATAACATAACAAGACCATTACCACCCTTTTTAGAAACAGTACCAACAAAAACCTTATTTACTATACTTTTTGTGTACCCCCAATCTCAATGATCTGTATCCGCCTATGATTTTTGAAAATGCATATTTTTAGGATCCATGTGGATTCCTGGTTCATTCTCTATCGATCGGCAAAAGTTGCGTTAAGATTGGTTCAGAAACCTGGCCGTGATAAACAGTCTAAAATGTATCTGCAATTTGCCCGTTTTTACCCCCCTCTACCCCCCCTATTGACATTTTTTTAATTTTTATTTTTTAGAAATGTAGATCACGTCGAGCGAAATCGAATGCCGTTTGAATTTTGAAAATCGGCCCGTTAGATCTCGAGATATCAAGGGGGGGTCGTAAACAGCCCCCCCTGCCACTAATAGGGGGTAGCCAGGAGCCTGCCACTAATAGGGTTAAAAGCAATATCATTCAAGCTTTGCGTCAAGAGTTATGGCCAAAAAAAGAATAATTATAGTGATGTCGACAACTTTTACGGTTTTGCTTTCCGGACTGTGCACTATGCAGTTTACCCTTGGTCAAAATTGAAAACATTTGCTTAGGACATTTTTAAGAGATATAGGATTTTCTGCGATGTTCTACCTTTTTCACAAACTACATCTACAGCGGATTTGTCCGGGAATTTCGAAATTGGAAAATTTTACCTTCAATGGCTTCTGTGTCATGACCTGCGAACTTACCCTGGAAATTGCCAACGTACTTTCTACATGGTCTTGATTATAAATCGCATTTGATTTTTAATCACGTTCATGATTATGATTTGATTCTAAATCACACGCATCTCAATGATAATAATACAATCATGTTAACATTGATGTCATAAAAGCGTTTTAGTATATGACTGAAGATCGTTTTTCCATTGGAGCACGTGTTGAGGATGAGAGCGTTTCTAACAGGTTTGTTAGTGCACTCCGTGCACTAACAAACAGTTAGTGAACGGGTCAATGACCCATACAAAACAGACAGGTCAATGTCCTATGACCTACAGTCAACGCCGTGCAATTTCATTTTTCATCTTTTTTATTGTCTATTGGCTCTTTTTGCCTATTCTATGGCTTGTTTATTTATGTATGTATATTCAAATGTGTTTTTCTCTCTATCTCTGGTGTTCGGACAAAATCAATATCAGTTTCAGAGCCACCCAATTAAATACCAGCAGTGAACAATCAACATGTATTGCAGACTTAGCAATGACACAAAACAGTCATCAATACATGTACATATTACATATTCGGCAGTATTCTCCAGTATTCTCAAGTATTCTCCAGGGTAGCTCATACGCTCTCCTTGCTCGTCATGTTGAAGTGTATGTTGAACGTACAGCTGTGGAACTCTGTTCCTCGCCATCGCTTCTCTTCAGTTGTTGGATATACCTACATAGGTAGGCACTTAACAACGGCGCATCCAGCTCATGTGGATCCTTGCTCTGTCCTTCATGCAGAAGAAAGTGTTTAAATTTACGTACGTCTTGTTCAGTGATTTCCTTTGTCCTGGATGACTTGGTGCTAGCAATGAACTTAATGGCTTCCTCTCTCGCTGTTTCTATCGTAGTTTCATTTTTATCTTCATCATCGTCAAGTAAATTGCCAATTAAATCAAAACACGGTCTATCACTCATTACTGTTAATTCGAATAACGTGTAACTGCCAAGACCTAAATTTGCTGACAATGCAAACCGAAATTGTTTCCAGACTTGATTTTTCGCTTTAATTTTGAATTCGCGTGGCGCAGTCATATACTAAATCGCTTAGTACACTCGCGTTTCTAAATTTTCATTTTGTGACCTCGACTGCGTCTCGGTCACAAATTAAAATTTAGAAACGCTCGTGTACTAAGCTACCAGTAAAACGCCTTTTGGGCGACCAACGGAGCGAGCGAGAGGATGGGCCTTGCACGTGCGAAATTGCGAGGGGGTACCTCCAACTAACTTGTGCACTGCACCCTACTAACCGGTCTTTAGCGATGTGCCAAATTTCAGCGCAATCAGCCTAGCCGTTCTCGAGATCTGGAAGCGGCACACTGCACGTGCGCACGTGCAAGCGGGGTCCAAACTGACTTTTGCACGGCACCCTACTAACTGGTCCCCAACCGTGTACCAAATTTGAGCGCAATCGGCCCAGCCGTTCTCGAGATCTGGGAGCGCCCCCTGCACGTGCGCACGTGCTGTAGCACCCCAACCTTAACACATGCAGATGAATTATCTGATGGAGACCTAACTGTGTACCGAGTTTCAATTCAATCAGCCCAACCGTTGTGCCGTTATTGAGGTTGCAATTTTGGGGTTCTTAAAAATTGTCCAACTTTACCACGCGCCACGTGCGGTGGTTGGCAAGAACGCATGGTGGCCATCACACCACAGAACTTTTACGTCCAAGTGACATTCAGTAAAGAAGACCGCTTGTCAATCGGATGTCCCGTTCCTAAGATATTAGCTTTTGAAGAGCGTCCCCACGGCCGGCCGGCCGGCCGCTCATACTCAGGATTTTCCCTTAAAGGGACAGTATCACCATTTTGATGAAATTTGACATTGCATAGGCCCCACCTTTCTGGTCCGGGAACTGAAGACCGATCCTCGAAGCTCCACACCGTTTTCCCGCTATCGCCGCTCAAAGTACGAAAGGTGTACCACACTTTGAATCGTGCTTCACTATCTTCACTGTTTAAATGTTTGCGCCGTTTTGAATTGACCGCCAGTAATAAAACTTTTACCCTGGTCATTTCATCAAATTTTATAAGGCCAAAACGTTTTTCGCACTTATTCATCACCGTTAAATTCATTAAATAGTCGTAGGCAATTTCCGCTGTTTCCTTCGGATTCTAGCGGCTCAACAAAGGAATTCCTCCAGCTTGAATCACAATCTCCCTCCAATGTATGACGTTTATCACGTGATTGTCACGTGATATTTTCTCCCATTGTCAATTGTCACGTCCAATTGTCACTCCCTCCAATTGTCACGTTACATTTTTATAGGCAATACCTAAGGCTACCTCTCCCTAAGGACAACTCAATCAGAAGAACGACCGCGTAAGCGTAGCGTCAATAATGTATTATCTGCGCCAGTTCTGTAGTAATTTTGCATGCTTCCAAACTGGCGGCCATGCTTGTATAGTGGTGGTTCGCTCATGAAAATGAATCATGAAAATGAAATGTGGTTGCAATATTTTTCACCGAGTTCGGTCCTCAAACTATGTTTTTCTGATTCAGAAAAATAAGAAATGCTAGTAAAAAAAAAATCAGCTCCATACATGTATATTTTTTTCGATGATACTGTCCCTTTAATTCAGTATGAGACTCCGCTCGCTTCGCTCGCTCCGTAATAACATTCAAGTGAGGTGACGAGAAAATAGCTGCAATGATGAAAACGTCCATTTAGACCGATTTTGCATACTCAAGACTAAATCCTTTACGACACCGTCGTTAGGTCAAACTTGAGCTTAAGTTTGACGACGCTCAGAGCGAAGAAACAAGCGTCCGATATCAGTTTCTGAATTCGCAAATGACCTATGAATTAATAATTATAATAACAGGTCTCATGAAGGAGCTTGGCCGTCGGCTGACGTGCCGCACCGGGGACAAACGGGAAACAGTCTGGCTGGCACAAAAGGTTTTAATTGCTGTGGCAAGGGGCAACGCTGCCTCCGTGCTGGCCACAGCTAAACCAGCAGCGGCCAACAGACCGGGACCGTCACCGACGCCATCGTCCAGGCTGACCCCGAGCATGATCACTCCGTCAATCGAGGCATCGGATGACGAGTCTGATGCGGGGCCGCCGCTGGACTCAGTGGCTGACCCACCGGGCCATCCACCACCACTGACCCCTGCGGACGGCTGTCGAGAGGAGCTGCGCATGACACGCTCGCGGTCCTCTTCCCTGTGCTGTCCCGGAGCGTGCGCGTGTCCGACTCTCAGCAGCAGATCCAGGATTTGAGTGGACCGTGGCCTGCTCAATGCTCATGTGAAGTGTGAATTTTGTATACGTTCTGCTCTACACGTAGGCAGTTGATCGCTTTAAAGATGTTGTTGTGCCGATGCCGAATGGATGGGCTCATGCTTTTATGATCAAATCAGTCGACGGTCAATTTCCAGTCGGCATCATGCTATACATTTGCATGCTATACATTTCATGCAAATTAGAAAAATATTATGTTGTCTATATGCCAGCTTAGTGTTTACGCTGAATCGCGTATGTGCTGCACTCATCGCATATTGATGTGTGTCGTGCACGCCGCTCGGTGCAAACAGAAAAACAAGCGGAGCATGCATCACCTCGGCCCACAATAACGCTGGGCGTTATCGCTGGTCTAAGTTGGCTTGGTGGGTAGGCAACCCGCAGTGTCCGAGTGGCCGGCGGCGCAGTCTACCTACGCAGTGTGAGAGCATGTCTATGGGCCGGCGAACACGGGCTGGGAGAAGGGCAGAGTTCCTGGTCAGAATGGCATTGGCTGGAAATAATGGCGGTGTCCTGGTGTAGTATATCAACTGTGTATATCTTTAGGACCGTTTCCAACCGCGGCTTTGGCTGAAGTTGGACCAATGTGCGTGGGTTATTACCTATTGTTTGGAAAATAAGCGTTGTCAAGTGATGCAATAAAAGTTTTGATGATTATCTGCGAGCATGTGCATTGTTCATATGACCTAACACGGTTTCAGTCTTTCGTTTCTTTGCCATTCGATGAGATTGTTTGTTCAGAAACCTATAATAAAGGGTAGATATCGAATTGATATTTCGTTTTAATGCCATTGGTTTTATATTATTTAACCCAGGTCTATTGCTATGCCGCTACCCATCACATCATGTTCCTGCTTATTTTGATATAACAGCCACTTTAAAACGACAGGAAGCCAAACCTCTGGCATTCCAGTTGGAGTCATGGCAGACCGGTGCAGTGGGCGGGCGATGTAGGACAGCCAGCGCCGGCGGAGTCCCTCCGTGTCCGTGTGGTAGTGATAGCGCCACCTACCAGGTAACCCAGCCGCGGCTAGCTCCACCGCTCGGTGGTCAAATGAAGCGAGCCGTTCTGCGAGGTCGGCGTCGACAGAGCGGTATTTTGGGGTGTGCTTACATAAGCAGAGCTATACTGGCCAGCGTTTCTGTTTGATAAATAGTATGATCATTACGGAGCGAGCGAAGCGAGCGGAGTCTTACGTAGAATAACGGAAATTTCTGAGTATGAGCGGCCGGCCGGCCGGCCGGCCGGCCGTGCGGACGCTTTTGCGAGGCTTATATCTCAGCAACCACTTGACCGATTTACATGCGGTAATTTTTGTAGGGTAGCTTCATTCCTTCTACCAAGTATTGGACTATTCCCGATGCATGTGGGTGACCTCTTATGCACGTGCCACGTGCAAAACGAAGAGGTGTCAGTTTTGTAATTGTTGCAATATCTCGGTAACTACTTGGCCGATTGCGCTGAAAGTTGGTATGTAGGTAGGCACCCACTAGGCACTGCATATCCATGTGCCAGAGTTGGGGTGCTGCTGCACGTGCGCACGTGCAGGGGTCGTTTCCAGATCTCGAGAACGGCTGGACCGATGGCGCTCAAATTTGGTACACAGTTAGGGACCAGTTAGTAGGGTGCCGTGTACAAGTCAGTTGGGACCCATTTTGCACGTGCGCACGTGCAGGGTGCCGCTCCCAGATCTCGAGAACGGCTGGGCCGATTGTGCTCAAATTTGGCACATCGCTAGAAACCGGTCAGTAGGGTGCCGTGCACAAGTCAGTTGGAGGTACCCCCTCGAAATTTCGCACGTGCAAGACTCACCCCCTCGCTCGCTCCGTTAGTCGCCCCAAAAGGCGCTATACTGGTTATATTCATATCGCGCAAGAGAGTTTCCCAGAGCCGTCATTGAGGCGAGTCGTGGAAGAAAGGTACCCGTGGCCATATAAAAGCATGGGACTCACTTTGTTTCCGCTTCCCATAACTAGGAGTGCCTACCTATCCGCAACATAGCAATTGTACTCATTTAGCATTTCCCCATTTTGGGAGCTGACGTGCCTCGTCTATGCAGCACAGCGGTAGTGCATGAGTATCCTTTTATTGTCCCCGGCGAGTAGCATTGTGATTTAATACGTTCCAACCGATGCAAGAAATGTATCTGCTCGAAGTGGTTTGTCATGTAGACACAACAAATCTTCTTTACATTCCCTTAACGTCACATTTGTTTCCGGCAGCCATCAGCAAAGACACGGGTGGCACTAGAAATATATTGAAATGATACATCGATCAGTGCCTGTTGTCCCCGGTGGTCTTGGGATGGGTCGGACTGTGGGGGCGGCCTCTGTGGGCCGATCAGCACGCTCGGGACGCCGGCACACACAGACATCGTGCGGGGGCGGCCAGCAGCCCCGGCCAGCCGGCGGCTCCGGCTCACCCTCCGCAGCAGAGCGCAGAACACGGCAGCGCGAGCTGGCCCAACAGCGGCAAACCGGGACCCAGACGCGGTACACAGAGCCTCACCGATACGCGCACACCGGGCGCTCAAATTCGTGATGGTCGCAAAAAGCCCAGGAGATGTTCAGGCGCTGTATACCCATTTTTGCGGCGAGCTAAGGCATCTGAGATAATGCGTCCATCTGTGTTGGTCGAGTAACGTTTTCCGCCGCACTATCCGGGCATCCAATCTGGGCAGTATGTTGACCAGCCTGGCTGTCCGGCAAACAGCTGAGCAAACAGCCGAGGGTAGCCCGGTACAGACACCGGTCGCGGTGCTCTCTGCGGACCACGTGACTGCCCGGCTGGACCCGGAGACTTTGGAGGGCCACTGTCCACTCCGTCCACCAAAGGCGCTCTGACCCGCCGCACTCCACAGAAACCGGGAGCATACGCACCCTCCCGCACCCACATGGCACCCACCCGCACCCACAATACACCCACGCACACACACGCGCCACGCATGAGTCCCGCGCGGGGCACCGCACGGGGCGCCGCCGCCGCGCGCGGCCGGCTCCGAGCAGCCACTGCCCCGCGCCCGCACTGGGGAGTCACACACGAGAGATAGAGAGAAAGAAAAACCAGGGACGCTGGAGCGGAATGGCAGGGCGGGCTCGCACGGCGGACGGCAGAGCTGCCACCGATCGTCGGGACGGCACTGCTTCACTCAAGGGGCCGGGACGCGGAGCTCACACCTTACCGCATGACACAATTCAGAGAGATAGATAGATAGGAAATAAAGCGGCGCCGCGCCAGGGCCTGAGCTGCCTTCCACCTAACTAGACTATCTAGGTGATGTACTGCAGTCGTGACCGATGGGACGCCTCAACAGCGCGCGTATGTTAATATGTACAGTTATGACTGCTGGTGGACGAGCTCTCCCCACGCCAAACAGAAGGTAACTGCAGACTCGTGTACAGGAATGCTCCATGCAAACAAAAAAGAAACAAAACACGACTTGTACGAATCTCATCCGGGTTGAGACGCTATGAGAACCATTGAGGATGTGTTTAAATACATGGGTATCTCGAAAAAAGGTATTTTAAAACGCAGCAGCGCGCGCGGGGAGTCCAGCGGCGATGACGATACAATGGCTGGCTGACTAGAACCAATGGAACAGCCCTGACGGCTGGCATGTCACACACTACATCTCCCCGCCCGCTGCAGCTCACGCTGTGTCCGTGGCCATATTGCACAGACGCGGCTGACGGTTTGTCTGTCTGTCCGTGTCTAGCTGCCTCGTCGGGGCGTAACAATTCGTAACTGAGCCACAGACCGGCTGCGGGTCGCGGGCTGCAGCGCCGGCGGTCACGCTGGCGGAGGCTGGCTCCTCCGTCTGAATCTCGGGGAGCCACTAAAATCCACGCCGGGTCTTGACAACCAGCGCGGCTTCATGAGTTGACACTCGGCACCGGCGCGACCATTTGCTGTCGCGCCGGCGAACGCCACAGTACAGTTATTCGTTCATTTTGGGCAGTATCTCGTACGCCTCCAGGGCGGACATGGCGATGTAGAACACCCACAGGAAGAACAGGAAGAACGAGGATGCGATCTTGATGCTGCGCGGTCCGCCGAGCTCCCCGCCGACTCGCGGGTGCCGGCGGAGCAGCATCAGACCGATGGCCAACACAGCCTCGCAGCAGAACAGCGTCACTGAAAACGCCAGGCTGAAACACGGCGAGCCAGTGTCAGAATAAAACGCCGCAGACAGTGTCAGAATGAACTACGGACGGCGTCAGAGTAAACCACGGCGGGCGTCAGGATAAAACACTGCTCGGCTCATTCAGACTGAAATATAGGCTTATAACAGTGAGCTGCACTGAAACATGGACTCCCGTTAGACTAATACACCGGCACACAGCCAACAATAGGCTCAAATAGGAACACTGGTATGCAGAACAGTGACTAGTTTTATCAAATAATCTAAATATAAAAGCCCCTATATCACTTAAAAGACGATCAGGAGAGTGACTCGAATAATAAGCAATTTCAAATTTACTTCTGAGTGCTTTTTCCTTATTATTGTGTGTAATTTATATGACAGACCCAACGAAACGTTGGGTCTGTCATTTTCATCTGTCATTTTCATCTGTCTGTGAAACGTTGGGTCTGTCATTTCTACGATTTTTCATCGTAGCAGTTGAAGCGATCCGCTATTGTCAAACTACATAAATGCTTAAAGATAAAGATAGACTATGGGTAAAAAAACGTAATGCTCATAATGTGATTATCAAACGCACAATCCACCGCTCATTGAGCTCACTTTCCGGGGTCGACCTCGAAGATGGAGTCGGTGGCCCAGTGGTAGATGGAGGCGATGCTCCAGGCCACGCCGATGCCCAGGAAGACGTTGACGCCGTTGGAGCCGGTGACATTGCCGACGGAGGCGTCAGCGTACCTGTCCTGGACGGCTGCCACCTTACTGGCGAAGGTGTCTGACGGGGCGGCGCGGCAGGGCGTCAGAGGCGGCGGGGGCGTCAGAGGCGGCAGGGCGGTGCACAGAGGTCAGGAGGGAGTGGTACGGGAGTCCAATCTCACCAGGTGACGTGGTAGCACCTGCTGATATCTATTGTTTCAGAAAGTGATATGAAATACAAATATTTGGATTGCTGTCTTTTACGTTTAGGCATGTAGGTTTGATAACATCCATTGCTTGGCATTAATTTATCAACATCGTTCTTAATAGATTATTGCCGCATTGTGTGAATGTCCAAGCACGCCACAAGGAACGATTGGAATCCGTCGCCATCAGCGCTCAATCATTTGGAGACGTAGTTATTTCTAATTATTTCTAATTCATTACCTAATTATTTTTAACATAAAATCTAAACATTATTTCTATTATTCTTATGTTCACAGCTGTCTTTGGACTGTTGAGTGGGTACTTATCGCTAACAATGTTCGATTGCAATCTAAAACTCACACAAACACCGAGTGTGGCGTAAAGTAGGTAAACAAATCGCCTGATGGCTTGAATATTAAATATTACAATCTATCATTATTTCAAGTTTTCAGAACACGGCACATGTATGCTTTAGACTTCATTGGTATGAGCGTCCTGAAAAGTAAGATGAATGATTAAATAAACAGTGATATTTTGATATGATACACAGTGATTTCATGCAGACAGAGGAGAAGCTAAGGATTAGCATGCATTTAGGAACATTGTCAGGCGATATGTCAAATTTTGAACAGGTATTTTTTCTTACCCTTCACTGCCCTACACGTACTTATCGTACAATTTGGAGCAGCACCTATTATATTGTACTTTCACACATTTCATGACATCTTATCATTAAACGTTCGCACTTATCGTAAACTTCTGATGTCTATTGTTTTCTAAAGACTTTCTAAACGGTGAACTCAGCAGGCTTCAGCAGCATTGTCAAGAGATAGGTGTATAGGTAGGAATGCTGAGACTTGGTGAAATTCCGGTTTTACGGCAGAATTTGGAGACCAACGTTTAACGTGCGTGCATAGCCGCGCACGGCCGGTCCCCTTACTGACTTCGTCTGGCTACGGCCTGCCACCAACGGCAACTATACCTGTCAGGAGGCCCATAAACGTCGAGCGCCCGTTGCCCTACGTTGAACTCTAGCCGGATAAGTCGGTGAGCCTAGTGGTCACGAGGATAGTGACGTCTTTGCCTCTCCTATTTTGGCATGTTTTCGTTTTCAATAGCATGCTATGGCCAGTAGCCAAACCTTGCCACACCGCCGCTAGATGGGGTAAAAAGCGCACGCCTGAAAGCTATACTGTGCCGCAAGGCTTGAACCAAGAACCGATATGTCATGCGTGCGGAGTCAAAGTCTGCGTGCGCGGAGTCAACTTGCCGTCACCTGTGTGAAAGCTGTACATGGACGATAACAGCCACCTGAGCCTGTATTGTATTAATTCTCAGCGATCAGTGACGGCCACTTGTATACTGTGCTCACCAGCCACCACCTGAATATTGTGCCAATGTCCGCCCCCAGGGCCGTGCCCTCCACCTGTGCATCCCGTATGCGGCCCGTGCTGTCAGCCGTGCGGATATTGCGTCCATGTCCAGCATTATGCGGATATGGATCATCCGTCTATGTGCAAATATTCACCTATCTGCCAATATGGAGCATTCGCCTAGGCGCACTTTGCCCAGTGCCCATATCGTTCTAGTTCTTCATGCTATTCCCATGGCCAGCACCAATATTACATCATGCTAGCGTCCACCACCAATTGTTCACCACAGGCTTTTTGGAGCAGACAACCATCTGTCTGACGTCTGTCTAACGCTGACTGACGTCTGACACGTTTGACTGACGTCCGTGACTGACGGTACCTGGTACCGACGTTCCAAACGCCACTATAGAGATGGCCGTGACGGAGTCGCGCAGACCGATGGTGCAGCCAAAGTGGGAGGCCACGTCGCCGATGAAGGCGGTCAGCAGGCCGATCATCACCACCGAGCACACGAAGCAGGCCCAGCCGTGCCACCGGTCTGCCGCAGCGCGGTACGGTGCTGTTACTGCTGTTGGTTGACTAGGGCGGCGCTTCCGGTGGCGCTGGTTCCGGCGAGGGGGAGGGGAAAGGGCTGCGCTCGGCAGTGAAATGTGTTAGTGTGATGATGATTTGTGTTTAGGAGCGTCGTAACAATGAAGTTATATGAAGCCCATATTGTGGTGGTGGTTAATTAGGAGTGGTTTTCGCTAGAAACGGCATGCTAAATATGTGTTAGTGGCTCGTTGCAGCTGGTGGCAGGAAGTACAAAATATTCAGCCAACAGCCAAGCATCTGAAATGCATTAGCAAAAACCAGAGCAAACAGGCATCAAAGCGGCACAGAAATGCGTTGCCACGAAGAGCAGGTTTTGTTATGATATTCTCGATGCTGGACGCAGATAAGAAATACATATGTTAGTGGATGACTCAGCAGACGTGCCAGCCGAAATAGATTAGGCGGGACAGCATCGATGCACGCTGCAGGAAGGCGATGACGTCAGCAGGCGGACAGTTCTAAGAGCGGGCACTTCACACAGCTCTGAGGTATAGCTCTGAGGTATAGCGGCGAGGCACTCAGACACATCTGGACCGGATAGTCACCGTCATAAGCGCCGCTACGAATATAGCATGCTCGAGGTGCAGGTGGAGGGACAATTCTGCTAGGAGCGATGCGAGCATTCCAGGGGCATCGGCTGTGCGGCAAGGAAGATGCATCGCATAAAACATCCAAAAATCTACCTCAGAATATAACAGCAGGCCAGAACATCAGCCTTGGAGGTGCAGAATATTTAGTTATCATTCAAGCGTTCTTTGTAAGAAGCCCATGCGGTGGACGAGAAAACAAGAAATACCGACTTCGGTGTATCATGGTATCACGTTATCGTGGTAGGGTCGTGGTGATTTGCAGGACATTGGAAATGAAATGCCCAATGGTGATTTGGGAATGAGCTTTTATACTTTGATATCACCTCTGCAATAGCCCTCCATCTTGCATTTTACAACTTCTTTGCCAGAGGTTCTTAACCCTCGCCCGTATTGGTGTTTTTCCAGCCGCGAACGTATAAGGGGGGGGGGGGTCCGTTGGACCCCCCCTTGCCGTTTCGCCCCTGATCGAGCTAGAGCTTCGCGGAAAAACGAGCGTGTTGCCCGTGACGAGAGGAAGCCGATGATACCCAATTTTAAGGTCCTTGGTCATTGGTTGACCTTGCAGGTCAGGTCAATGACCCCAAAGGCGGGAAAATCGGGACCTGTTAGAACGTCGTAAAGTGTGGCTGCTATGGGGTTTTTCGGGGTGCTGATCACGAATATCATGTTAGTTTTGATCACAGATGATGTCTTCATGTATTTAGGCCAGGTCAGGTCAGGTCAGGTCAGGTCAACCAGTAAGGGTATTCGTAGTAGGTGGCAACCGCCTCTGACAGCTTCGTAACGTGTTACGAAGGCACCAAAACTACTTCGTAAATGTTCATATGGTTGCTAAATTCAAATGCAGCTCCAAAAACTGGCCTAGAAACATGTAAAACTCGAAAAAGTGAACCGAGGTCATCAAAGGTCAATGACCTGACCTGACCTTCAGGTGACCTTGGCACCCACCCTAATGCATGGGGGCAACATCATATCACATGTTTGAACGCTTGAAACCACGAAAAGGCTGCAAACGCGCGGCTAATGCGAGCCGACATACGCCGAATCGCGATTCCAGCCAAACATGGTCTCGAAAAGTAGGTCACAGGTCAAAGGTCATTTGGGTCAGGGTCATGAAAATTTCAGGGTAGGTGTGAAATTGATAAACGCGAGGGTACTGAAAGTTTCGTCGCGATAGGCCCCTTTTTACGCGAGTTATTCGCGAAAAACCATGGGGGGTCCGTTTGACCCCCCCTATACGGGCGAGGGTTAACCCGCGACCGCCTGGGGGGGGGGGGTCGGATCCGACCCCCCCTCCGTTTTTCTTAAATAACTCATGAACCGCTTGCGCTATCAACTTGAAACTTCGCATACCTTCTCCCCCATCAATTTGACGTCTCTTGTGCAATTGTTAAGAAAAAATTTTCAAAAATTTCTGAGATATATCGATTTTAGTGATGTAACTACATGGCGTTTTCAGTCAAAAAATGGTAAATGTTTAAAAAATCGCCAAAAATCGAGGTTTTAAGCAAATTGCAAATTAAGGACATGAAAAGACGCAGCTCAACGAGTTCTTTAAAATGGCTATCTCGGATTTTCCATAAAATGCGTTTTTCACCCCTAAAAATTCAAAAAACTATATTTCTTTGAAAACAGCTAATAAAATCCAAAATTTTAAGAATTTCCAAAAACCGGAATATATGTTATAGAGCGCTATTAGAACATTTGATGTACCAAATTTCAACTTTCTATCTTGATTTTTGACCCCCAAATTGTAAAAAATAGCTCCAACATGCATAGGGCATGGTGACGTCATAAGCATTTTCGCGAATTAGAGGCACTTCTGAACATCGCATGTGAAAACAAATGGCACCACTAGATTCCTGGGACAAAGCTCGTCTAGAAAAGTGCATTTTTATGTAAAAAATAAAAAGTTGAAAAATTGACTTTTTCTTAGCCCTCGTTTAGTTATGTATGGTATAAACGATTTTTTATGCTTTCAATGCACACTTATCACCAGCACAGTGACTTGGGGTCACATATAACCATTACCATCGGATTTGGCGTGAAAAATAAGCCATAAAACATGTGTCGCACGCCCATGTAGCAGAAAGTGAAAACCGTGACCTTTCGTGACCTGACCTGACCTTGACCCGTACTTAGTATGACCCCTACACGCACATGGTACCTTCACTAGGTCTTTGAGATCATTTGTGGTGAGTTTCGAGCAGCAGCTATCGATTCCGCTGTCCGTAAGCCTAATCATGCAAAACCCCTGAATTTGACCTTTGACCTGACCTTGACCCGAAAGTTGACCTCAATCTTAAAATCTTAAGAGTGCTTTGGGAAGGTCTCGTAGAGACCTTTCGAACGCCGCCTCGCGGGGCTCGATACGACCATTGGTTCTCGAGATAACAGGGGGGGTCGGATCCGACCCCCCCCCCAGGCTGATGTGGGTACGGAAATAGCCCAGGCGGTGCCGGGTTAAGTTGGAACTTTGCCTGTTGACGCCAGCACACCGTTCTTAACTTGAATTTTACTTTCTCGCAACTTAAAAGAACACACGAACGTTTGCTTAGGTACCGAAAAAGTGACGTTTTGATCAACATCACTGTTTTGCTTGCCTATTGTCCTTCTTTAATTTCAAAAGGGACTAGAGATATTTCTGTTGTAACTTTATTTTGCTCAGCGAATGCTGCTGCCATGCAGGTATGCAGGCGCATTTCAAAACACACCGTTACCAGCTTAATGGCTTCCGAATCCGATTCTAGTGCTTCAATAATTTCAGACCGAAATCCGCTCGTCCGAGCTACTGAAAGGCACGCGTTAGTCCGGGCCACAACAAGCCTGCGTGTCGACGGCGACTCGGCACACATTAGTCCGCGGCGGCGGCTGGCTGTCGGCCGGCCTTGGGAACCGGGCCGGCGCGTTAGTCTAGCTCTACCGAGACGGAGCTTCACTACGGGGTCGGGCCGGCGGCGGCGGCCGGAGCGCTCATCCGCTCACCCACCTGGCACAGACGTGCCCAGCGCCACAAACGAGATGGCGGTGATCGTGTCGCGCAGCCCTATCGTACAGCCGAAGTGCGATGCCGCGTCGCCGATGAAGGCCGTCAGACCGGCTATGCCCAGAATGGCGAACACGAAAGTGGGATAGCCAGAGTACACGTCTGCGGGAGAGTCGGGGCCGTCGTGGTCAGGGAGAGGCCCCAGGCCGGGCAGGCCAGGCGCGACAGACTGCCCGGTGGGGTGGCGCAGGCAGGCAGTGTGAGAAGGTGATGATACAGACGGTCGTCGGTCGTGGGACCGGTGGTAGAAGCAGTAGCCGCGGAGACAGCGAGAAAGTGCCCCCGGTGAAGTAAAGCTGCCAACAACAAGGTGAGGAGAGCTCTTCTCTCCCCGACGAAGATAAAGAAGAAGTAAGAAGAACTACAAAGGAAAATGAGGACACGAACAAAGAAGCAAGGAAAGGAGAGTAAGAGTAAGTAAGAAGAGAGTAAACAGGATGGAGATAGATTCAGGTAAGGCATGTTATAGTCGGGACAGCAGGATGGGACAGCCGGCCGATCGTGAAGCGGTATGTAACAGGCGGGAGCGGCGGCTGGCCGGCGGTATGTAACAGGCGGTGGTGAGGTGAGATGCCACTGCTGGCCGGCGATGTGTTATGGCCAGCCGCAGTGCCAGCCGGGCGCGCCGCCAGCGCCGTGGCCGCGGTACCTGGCACGCTGGTGCCCAGAGCCACGATCGAGATGGCCGTCACCGTATCCCTGAGGCCGACCGTGCAGCCAAAGTGCGAGGCGGCGTCTCCGATGACGGTCGTCAGCATAGCGATGCCCAGAATCGACACAAAGAAGCACAGGTAGCCGCTGTAAATGTCTGAACGGCCACCACCCGGCGTAACGGTCAGACGGAGCACACCGGGTCATCAGGGGTCAACACTAGGGGTCAAAGTTATGACGCCAGATAAACATTGAGAAGGTCTCATAACAGTGGTGCGAACAAACAGCTGCGAAGGGAAACCATGATGGCAAATGAGGTCAAGGTCAAGCACTACGATTTCGAAAACACAGCATGAAAACTTACTGAAACACTGAACCACAGCATTCACACTCAATTGGGTAGACAAATTATCATAAGCTTCTACTTGTTGCAAAAATAACGCATCATAGATAAGTTGGCACACTTCGATAAAAAATTTTTATCACCTGACCAATATGTACGGCTTGTGCGCAATGCACGAGTTCTCTCTTTTTATCTAAGCTGTGGAGTAATGAGTACATGAAAGCGGTCAAACAAAGAACAATAAAGCGAGCCTGCTGCACGTATTGCCCGGTGTTTGATCACTGTACAAAGAGCCGATCGGGCGTAAATCATCACCCGGGACGGGCGCGCCCGGTGTCTGACCGCCCGAACCGGTGTGCTCTGAGTGCTCCGTGACGAAACACTGTTTTCAGTGAAAACACCCATACACTCGGATCTATCAGTCGCTCCGACTCCGCGCCTCGGCCGTTCGTATACATTCGGCCGTCATCGGCTGGCGAGAGGCTTTCAGTGGGCGCAGGGAGCTTTGCAGCTTAGCTGTGAATGGGGTGTTAGTGACGGTGGCGGGGGTCAGTCGTAGATGATCTGGAAAGATTTCTGAAGCTACGACTGGTACCAGAACGCCCTAGGTTGTAACATGCTTGGTACTCTGTAAAAACGTAACAGCTCATTAGAAGAGGTGAACGTAACGGCTCAAGCACACCATCACTAAAGTTAATGATAAAGTAGCAAAGCTAGCACGGCGAAGGGTACAATCGCTACAGCTTCCGATTGGATTCCTGTGAAAAGTCTGAAAAGGATGTTCTCAGTTCTGCATCAGCTGGCTAGACTTGGTCAGAAGGCCTTATGGGTGACAGCGTGAATCGTGATTGGCGGGTCAATGGACACACTGGACCAAATAGACTTTGAAATTAGTAATTACTCATACCAGCGTCAGCTGAGAAAACTGTGGTACGTTTTAAGCAGGGCTGCGGAGTCGGAGTCGGAGTCGGAGTCGGAGTCGGTCGGAGTCGACAGTTGTGACCGGAGTCGAAGTCGGAGTCGGAGTCGATTTTAGAAACCCGAGCCGGAGTCGGAGTCGGAGTCACCGAAAATCTGTCGACTCCGCAGCCCTGCTAGGTCTGCGGAGTGGGAGTCGGGAGTTGGAGTCGGTCGGGGTCGACAATTCTGCCCGGAGTCGGAGTCGGAGTCGGAGCTGGTTTTTGAAAGCCGGAGTCGGAGTCGGAGTCGGAGTCGCCGAAAATCCATCGACTCCGCAGCCCTGGTTTTAAGATTCTGCTAATTGATAGTCAAAGCACTAAGAGGTCACTTATCATAGACTCATTACGTTCAAAGTAAACATGTCATAACTCAATGAAACCTTTTTTCAGAATCAAAACAACCGTAAATAATTTTCGATTGATCGTGATACTGCGCAATGCTGCGATCAAAAAACTGATGTTAAATCGAGCGAATAAAGCAGTGACCGTATGTTGTTTAGCTAGGAACAGATTGTAAATTCCCCCACTTAGTAGTTCTTTGAGCAGCAGCTGCCACAAACGAATGGAGATCCGCCTCCCATTTATGTAAGTTACACCCTGTCACGAACCTGTAGGCGGCACAAAGGCAAAGAGCAGCTTCCAGAAGACGGTGACGAAGTGCATGATGTAGTCGCCGCAGCTGGGCAACTTCTCGTCCTCGCTGCTGGCGTCGCCTTCCTCCTTTTCTTCGTCATCGTCGTCATCATCGCCTGCGCCGGCGAGGTCGGGGCGTCAGACCATCAACAGGGGAAGCTGAGTGGCGGCGAAGGGGCTGTCATTATAGAACACCTCTGAGCATAATTGTTTATCCTCGCACGGGCACCTTACTATAATATATAGACAACTGAGCTCTGATTCGCGTTCAGATGGTTGTCACTCAGCAACATAGGTTTCTTAGTTACGCACGACTTTTCGCCGACTCGTCTGATGCCAAATGAGTACATATCCGTGCAAACGCCGCTGGCCTTCCTCGGCCGGTTCTGTCTGGTTGAATGACGTCAAGACACATCTCTCGAGCGGGATCCGCTGTGTGTTGCCATCACTGACCTGCTGACACGGTGAGAGCCTCGATAAACTGCTCCTTCCAGGAGGAGGTGCCCACCACGAATGACGCGTTTGCCCGCTGCACCAGCTTGTCGACAGTGTTCTGCGGTGGAGTGTGATGGTTATACACCCGAACAAACGACGTTTAACTATTCAGCACACAAACGCACAGGCTCACATCCATTCTACTAAGACGTGTCTAGGATGGCACTAAAATCTATGATTTTCAATTCGAAGATTAAATTCCAGTGGAAACGAGTCAAAAATTATACCTTGTACCTGAAATAGTTTTGCTGAATACATGTGGACTCTGATGCAAACCAAAGATGAGGAGAGTTGAGTTTATCCCAACCGAGATTTTATCTATCACAAACCATTAAATGTTATCAAATGCAGAAGGCCACATTAAAACAATGATATTAAGTCGTGATGTGCTGGTCTTTACCAAGATTCTTATTTTTGTGATTACAAAACATTTGATGTAAAAAATAGATAAGTTGACCACTCGTTTTTCTGACTCACCTTGAACTCTTTGCTTTCCTTTATCCTAATTTGCGATCGCGTCGACTCTCCTAGTTTGGGCTTTCCTAGGAGCGCGATTTTCTCCTCCTCGGAGAGGTCGTTGAGGTTTTTGTCCTGGAAGTCCAGTGTGCCGCCTGGGTAGCCGTCCACTGCGGGTGGAGGGCGGCACGCGGCGCGCTGAGTCAGCGGGATCGGGCCGCGCGCGCCGAGTCTCTGCCAGCGCCGGCCGGATGCCGGCGTCCGAGCCCGAGCTGTCCGGGAGCTGGCACCGGCCGGACCCAGACAGATGTCCCGCCGGCTGGCACCGAGCGCCGCCGCTGGCAGCCGGCACCGCCCACCACTGGAAGATTCCCCGTCCCCGCCCGCCGCAACAGGCGACACTGCCCCGCCGGCCCTCCACTAGCATCTGTTGGTCTTCCGCTACTCTCTGCCGTCCTGACCGTCTACAAAATAAGTCTCCGTGACTGCAAAGTCGCTGGTCCCCAGAGAGTCAGTCGGTTCCCACAATGAAAATCGGTCCCCATATCATCACAGAGTCCTCAGTTCGGCGTGCGGTCCATACATTGACAGACACTGTCTCAGGTGTGATCGTCACGTGTCTCCAATACCTCGTGAGTCCCTAAATAAACATCACACGTAAGTGGGGGCTCCTATGAGGCCTGCCATGGTGACGTGATGGCACGTGACCGTTACACAAGCTGTTGGCAGCCCTTCCTGTCGTCCGAACAGTGCCGGCATACTGAATAGGTCAAAGAGTACGAGTCCCACATACACATACACGAGTGCACGAGTGCAGAAACACATCACTTACCAAACCATATCCGGAGAGAAATAAGTAAGACAGGCCGAGGGTAGACATTGGTTAAAATAGGAGTTCTTTTGAATAGGTATCTTTACGATGCTCCGCCATAAACGTCTTTGATATATTTGGTTAAGCCATGTACATATCTGAAGACACGAAGGTGGTAAGAACTTCAGGTTGCTAAGAATGCATACAAGTAGGCTCGAGCTAGTCTTCTCTCACGATCAGTCTACAAGTGGCAAACATACCTTCCCGCACAATTGCTTATTAGCTACAAGGATTACTTTGAGCTTCTATGCTGATAAGCACCAAATACTGATAGAAAATGAGATCTAACAACGAATGGAAAACTTATAAACACATCGCCGTCGATTTATAACTAAATTGTCTCATCACGTATCCAACGAGCATGCAAGCGCAGCTACAGTACCTTCCCAAAGGTAAGTCAGCTATCAGCCTAACGATAAACCCCGATAAGTATGTGCACATACCACGTATCCTATGGAATCCCGTTGGGTCACTACGTACTTAAATCACTAGCTAGGGAATCCTGACTGAGCATATTAACATCATGCGACGTCTTTAAAGGTTATGAGCTACTGTTTAAGAGGTAGTTTCTGTGGTAGGGCTTGATGCGGGAGCGCAGTTACGCGGAAACATAGGTAGGTATAGAATAGATATCTTGGGACAAGGGCTGTGGACAGTCGGGGTCACTCGGAGAAACTGTGCTTGTAGATCACTGAGGGGGGGGGGGGGGCATACAGGTAACCACAAGCAGGTGATATATATTTTCTGAGGCGAGGCAAAGGAGACCTAATGGCCGACCATTTGCTCATCGTCAGGCTTTCTGGGTTCAATTTCAAGCCAACATCGGGCCCAACGCATCAGATGTCTTCATAAACTGAGGCCTGATAAAGTATACGCTTTATGCGAGGTTCAGACAGCTGACGGACTATTTTTGGAAATGCTACGCTGTATTACATTAGAATTTATCTTGGAGATGTTAACAGCAGAACTAAACGTTATTTTACATGGAATGACATTGGTATAATTCATTATTATGTTTTTCTTATATATTACTACGTTGCTATGCTTTTAGTGTAGCATATTTTGTTACATAGAAGCAGTAGCTTATTTGCTAATGCTTACCAATATTGCTCGTGCAGCCTTTTATAATGCATGCAGGCATTCTAAGAAGAAAACCGTACCAAATAGATGCTGAGATCTAGACAGCAATGCATTCATGTCTGTGTTAACTAGGAAAGTAAAGGCGTAGAGGAGGAAACATGCTTGGTAGTGTGCAAGTGTTTGTTGCTATGTTATGTATGCAAACAAGGTAAAAACTGCCACACAAACTCATAAACTTACACATTATATACGCCACCATAGCATCGATCCGGAGCCGATGGGCGCCAACGCGCCAGGAACGAAGACAGAGGAAAAGAAAGAGACCAAATGAACGGACGAATTAGCCATAAAAACAGCACGACGCCAAACGAAAAAGTGGCCGCTGCGAAAACAGTGTTACGGAGCTGTGCTAAAGCGGGCCGTTTGCTTAGAGACGGTGTCGGTGTTACATTGACCTGACTAGGTGCCGCCCCTGGCCGGGACGGGGCCGCCGACAGCGGCACACACACACACAGAGACACACGATGCGATCAGCAGTCACAATCACAACCGGCGCCCCTGGGAACTGTCTCTAGCTCTCCTGATTACATCCGCAGGACTGTCCGCGCGTGCAGCTGCCTGTTGTGCGACATTTTGTTCTAGAGTTTTATATAAAAGCCGCTTCTAGAATATTTTGGTGATTAGTCCGAAAAGAAACGGAAACTGACACTTCGATCGGTTAATCGGTCCTTAAATTTTTTCATAATTATCGTCAATCATTTTTTTGTCATAACATATAGGCACAAATACAAACAGACAAAAGAACCATAAACGGAGAACAGGATAAAACAGTACGGTACGACTATCCATGCTCTCGTGCGCTCATGCCTTGACCTTTGAAGGTATGGAAGAAGTTGAGTGTCTGTATATGATGGTCAACACTTTCAGAGTTGCACTGACAGAGCTCAAAGTTGGATTCACCTATCGGGCTATTGAAAAGGTTAGATTGAACAATCATCTGGAATTTTATTTTATATTTTCTTATGCCTATCAGTTTGTATTGCAAAGGCTAATAAAATCTACGAAGAGAATGTAATCTTATTTCAAAGTTGGACCGATGAGAATCATTTAAACTCAATTGCATGGAATGGTTTAAAAGGGTAGATATTTATATAAATGCAATGAAAACCCTAAGCCTCATGCTAATAATTGTATTGAAAATAGGGCCAAGAAAACAAGTCTCGTTTTCTTGGCCCTATTTTCAATACAATTATTAGCATGAGGCTTAGGGTTTTCATTGCATTTATATATATAATCATGAGCCTTAAAACCGCGCTTTCTTTCATCAGGGTAGATATTTGCTATATTTTTGCTTTATTTTGTGTTTTGATGCTATACGATGTGCGTGAACAGACAGCACGCATACTCTTGCTGATTATCCTGTTGAACTACCTATTTTCATGGTCTGAATATTAGCCTCTATAACAAGAAGCAAGTGTTCTGCATTTTTTCCATATAGGTATACAGATACACTTTTACACAATGCACATACAGGCTAGCGATTTGCAGTGTTTTGCGCCATCCATGTAAGCAAATGTGAAAAATATGCGTGCCTCCGCTGCCCGGAACAGAAACGTAACTGACCTGACAAATAGCGAGGCTCCTGCAGCTCAACGTAGAACAAGACGTCCTTTTCGTAGCTGTCCTCCTCTATGATCGGAATTGTGATGTATTGCCTGCGAAAAATATCAGTCAGCAACGATCTCGCGTGCGATCATTGGCCTCCATCACGACAGTAATAACTTAGCCAACGATCTGCTCGATTCGATGGTTGCATTTGACAGCAATGGAGGTAATCAGGCAGTTTTATGCCCAATATACGTCCTGTCAATGCTTTCGCAATCACTTTTTAGCAACTTGACTAATAATCAATCACGATTTTTGGTGTTTGAGTGGTTTGAAACATCTTTAGCAGGATTAGTATTATTGGTGGTTGAAAATTTCTAAGTAGTTTGAGGGTTAATAAGCAGCCAGACAAAAGTAAAGTTTAAATGGAGACATTAAGAAGTTAGCGGTGATATTATGTAGAAGCATAGTGATGCCGATGGACCCAACGCCGATAAATCATCTCACTTAGTAATTCTGCACCGACGTCCGTCCGTCCGTCCGTCCGTCCGTCCGTCCGTCCGTCCGTCCGTCTGTCTGTCTGTCTGTCTGTCTGTCTGTCTGTCTGTCTGTCTGTCTGTCTGTCTGTCCGTCTGTCTGTCTGTCTGTCTATCTGTCTGTCTGTCTGTCTGTCTGTCTGTCTGTCTGTCTGTCTGTCTGTCTGTCTGTCTGTCTGTCTGTCTGTCTGTCTGTCTGTCTGTCTGTCTGTCTGTCTGTCTGTCTGTCTGTCTGTCTGTCTGTCTGTCTGTCTGTCTGTCTGTCTGTCTGTCTGTCTGTCTGTCTGTCTGTCTGTCTGTCTGTCTGTCTGTCTGTCTGTCTGTCTGTCTGTCTGTCTGTCTGTCTGTCTGTCTGTCTGTCTGTCTGTCTGTCTGTCTGTCTGTCTGTCTGTCTGTCTGTCTGTCTGTCTGTCTGTCTGTCTGTCTGTCTGTCTGTCCGTCCGTCCGTCCGTCTGATGACGCCTGTCTCCGCCCGTCTTTCCGTCACATCCGACGTTCTCGGCTCAGCCAGGGTGACGTCCGCCGGCACCATGGCTCGGCCCGACGGCGTCCGAAACGATAACATCCATCGAGGGACTGTCGCCAAATGGCCGCCTCCACGAAAAGATGAGAAGAAGTCCAACGAGAATATGACCGAATGGAGTTGAACGTTTGCCAATCATAAGAAATGGATATAGTTAGGCAAGTTATTTATTAGTCTGGTTTGATGACCCTTACGCAAACTAGCAAATGTTTTGACGCTGGCATCTGTCATCGAAGTGTGAATTTGGATCGTGCAAAGTTATCACGGCTCTTTTAAATTCAACCAAGTTCTGAGACCCATCCAACTCGCACTCGACGGCTGAAGGACCAGTGGACAGCCGGCAGACGCGCACCGACCTCTCGAGGGATCCCGCCCTGGGTCTCTGTGACTTCCGGTGGCTAAACCCCACCGAGGTGCCGCCCTCAGCGGGATCTGATTCAGGCAGTGTCGTGCCAACAGGCGTGGGCGCCAGCTGTCGTGCAACCCCGCGCTCGCGGCACCAGCCAATTGTAAACGAACAACTCATCGGAAGCAGCACGGCACGTGATGAATAGAACACGTTTGGCTGTCTGAATGGATGTAATTTTGCAAAGGGTTTGTGACATGTGTCCCTTTGAAGTAATGAACTTTGCATCTATCATTCAATGCTTTTTATTGATAAACCAGTCACGCGACTTGTGGCATAGTTAGTTACGAAGCTGCAGTTAAACGGTTATCTAGCTAAAAGTTAAACATTTCGTGACGAATATCAAGTGGTTTTTATCAAAAAGTAAAATAAAGCAAAATAAGCTGCGTAAATAAGATGAAACGCCAGCCCTTTAGCGTTGAACCTAAAATTTGAAGGCTATGGTATGATGTGTGTGTAGTGTGTGTCTTTCAGTCTTTATCTGGAGGAAAAGTAACCTACAACAAGTAAGAAACGCTGCAAATGTGTGGAGTACAGCAGTGAAATAGAGTGAAAGTTTTCTTGTTAAATGAGTTTTACAAACGACTTGGAACTAACACACGATGAAATATTACGCTAAAAGTACAAGTAGCAATGTTTATAAGAAAGGTGCGGTTAAAGGTGCAACTTTTAAGCCATAGCTTTGGCTACTCACTCAGTTTCGTTGTTCTCGAAGATGACCTCGCCCTCTGTGTGCTCATAGTCCTTGTTGGGCTTGGCCGTGCCCTCGATGGTGGTGAAGGGCACAGCGACGCGGCCTCGCGCGCCCGACCACCGCACCACCTTCAGGTTGTACGAGCCCACCGACTCGACGATCTCAATGTCCTTCTCGGCCACGTTGAAGATGCCTCCGTGGTCGTCATCCAGGATCATGACGGTGGCCACGAACGGCGCGGCCAGCTTGATCTCCGGCATGGAGAACCGTCGGCCGGCGCTGCCGTTGGTCTGTGTCAGCGGAAGGCCGTCGCGCTCCGCCAGCCGCAGGTTACTCAGCTTGACGTAGAAGTGTTCGTCCTCTTCGAAGAGGTCGTCGTCGATGACGGCCACGCTGAACGTCTTCAGCGTCTCTCCAGGCCCGAAGAAGAGGGTGCCGGCGACGGCCACGTAGTCGCTGCCGGCACTGGCCGAGCCGTCCTCCGTGCGGTAGTCGACCAGCACGCATTGGTTCGGGTCGCCGCCCTCGCGCTTCACCGTCACCTCGAAGTCGCCGACGCTCTCCATCACCGTGTAGTGACCCGGGTCGAAGAACACCTTGATGATGTGACTGTCTTCCGTTTTCACCTCCTCTATTTCTTGTGCTTCTTCCTTCTTCTCGGCCTGAAGAGCCTTCTTCATCAGGTTTCCACCACCGGTGAGTTTCCGCGTGGCCTGGATCCGGTAGAAGGCGCGCGACTTGGGCCCCTTGTTGAGGACCTCCTCGCGGGCCATCAGCTCCAGCTGCTCCATGTCCATGTTGGGGTGTTTCTTGCGCAGCTGGCGCAGGATGGTGATGTACTCTCGCCGGTTCTCCTCGAACTCACGTACCGACTCGTCGACGTGCTCCTCCTCGAGCTGCTCGAGCTCGCCGCCGATCACGTGGTTCGTCTTGTCCATCTCGACGCCCTCATGCTCGACGATCACTCCACGCTTGTTCAGGCGGTAGTCCTTGTGCATGTACTTGTAGAAGAGCATGCGCCGGTCGGCGATGTAGGCGGTGGCCACGGTGGCCGGGAAGAAGAGAAGCGTCAGCACCGCCTCCCAGATGTCTACTCTGCCCGGTGTGATGGCTGCCAGGATCAGGTACAGCCACACGTAGGCGAAGATGGACCAGGCGGCCGTCACGAAGAACACCCGCAGGTGTTTGATCTTGCGTACCTCTCCGTCGGGGATGACGTATACACAAAGAGAGATGATGACAAACAAGTTGAAGGCGGCGCTGCCCACAATAGTGCCGGGACCCAGCTCGCCAGAGTCAAAGTTCTTGGCGTAAATTTCAATAATTGAGAGAAGGATCTCGGGCGCGGACGAGCCGAGAGCCATCAGCGTCAGGTTGGCCACCGTCTCGTTCCAGACTCGCACAACAACAATCTGCGTCTCGCCGTTGGGCTTCTTGACGGTGACCTCCTTCTCCTTGGAGGTGATGACCTCGATGGAGGCCATGAAGCGGTCGGCCACGATCGACACGCCAATGAAGAGGTAGATGAGGGTGAAGAAGTAGACCAGCGCGCGGGCAAACACATCTCCGCCGCTGAGGCCATCCTGCGGCTCCCAGACGGGCAGAATCAGGCCCGGCTGGCAGCGCTGCTCCTTGCTGCTGGAGCCGTTAGTGGCGGCGGCCTGGGCCCCGCTCAGCGCCGCCAGCGGCAGCAGCAGCGGCGCGAGACGCGACATGGGGACGCGGCGGGCGGCGCCGACCGTCGTCAGCTGACTGCGCCGAGCTCACACATGCAGGCGGCCGCGCCGGCGGCGGCGGCGGCGGCGGCTCCCCGTCCGGCCGGCTGTGTGTAGGCGGCTGCGCTGGCCGGCAACACTTGTGTCAGCGGCTAACGACGACCAGCAGCTGTGCGCCGGCCCGGCCACGTGCCGCCGCCCCGAACAACACCTGAAGCAGAGCCAAATCAACAGCCGTTAGCGCTCCCAGAAACCCAATAAGCGCCGCGGGCGAGCCGGCCAGGGGCGCTATTCACCAGCGGCAGGGCGGGGCAGCACTCTGAAGGGTGGGGCGCACATATGACCATAGCTGGCGGTATGGGAGCACACACGGCTACGACCATGTGCTAGAAGGGAGACAAGTGCAGCTGCATTGTTGTGTTCTACTGAGTTGACGTCAACGCATGGTAGCCTTCCCTCGCCACTCCCAAGCTGGTTTGAGACTGTAAGGTATTCCAAAAGCAGGTGGGGATGGCCTACTCACTGGATTAGTGCTAAAGTGTCCTATCTGTAGCTATTATGAGCACGTGTGTTCGAAGGGCTTAGGGCATTTCGATTTATAATGAAATCACTCGAATATTTTGTAATATTAACCCGCGCCCGGCTGGGGGTCCTGGATTTCCACGCCCTGCTGGGGGGGGTGTTTGAACACCCCCCCTTCTAACTCGGCTCCTGGGCCACGTAGCGATACGCGGAAGGCGGCGTTCGAAAGAGCGTCAAAAATAATGAGGAAATCACTTCGGTCAATTTTTTGGTCAGGTCAAAGGTCAGGTCACCAGAGGTCATTGAAGGCAAAATTTCGCCGATTTGCAGGTCGAATGTCGACAATTTCCAAGAAGCCAACGCATAACTTGGGAACCAATAGAGCTACAGCGCCGCGGAAAAGCGCATTCGATAGCCCTATTAACGCCCTTTCTGAGTAATTCTCTCAGATTTGACCTAACGTCAACGGTTTTGCCTGCAGGGGGCAAAAACTGCAAAAATAGCCGATTTTTTCGAAAACTGTTTTTCTGCAATAACTTTTGACGTAAGCCTTGTACGAGCTTACTTTTACCGGCATCGTGTTCCTCTCGTCAAGACGCATCGAATGAACTATAACTTGACCTTGAAAGGTCAACTTGAAAATTTGACCTCAGGTCAAGGTCATGACCTGACCGGAAAGGGTCATGTTGCATATCAGTCGATCCGTATCGTCGAGCTGAACACATCTAAGGCGTTTTCATCGCTCTAGCATGCCTCTATCAATAGTTATTTGCGAAAAACTGTTAGATACCATTCGTGACCTAAGATGACCTCAGGGCATAAACAGGGGTCACGGACACCATTTTCATGTTCAGTGTGTCTAAACCACTTGTAATTCAGTGTTTGGGAGTGTTTATAATGTCTCTCGTCCAAAGGAGGCGCATTTCAATTTTCTCCCATTGACTTATAATGGGGAGGTCGCAAAATTGACCTGACCTTAGGTCATCGATATCAAAATTCTGAGATATACATTTTGTACATGCTATTGCTCTTAGCAATCGCTGAAAGTTTCAAAGCGATCGGTCACTCGGTGTAGCTATGACAGACATTGAAACTTTTTATGAGGTGAGGTCACTTCAAGTGACCTGGTGACCTGACCTTGAATGACCTTGGTCTGAAATTTTCACAACATGTGTAGAATTGATGTATGATAAGGTGTACCAAAAACGGCGGCGCTCCGCGCCGCCGTTTTTGAGATATTCGCGAAAAACCACAAGGGGGGTGTTCAAACACCCCCCCAGCAGGGCGCGGGTTAACGAACAGAATGACAGAATCTTCTGTAGGCAGTCGAAGGTCGAATTTCAGAATCAGATATCTGAGGTCCAGTGACATAAGTGAGGCTGGGAGTATAACAAAACTGTGCCGATATGTAAAATACAAACAAATAAAGCAACAACCATGCATACATAGATGATAAAAAATTGTGGTTGATAGGTAATAGTGCACATGGAGGAAAGTGAGGAGTTTGACATAATATATCATGACTTAATAAAAAAACGGAAAACAGTTGTTTTACATTCGGCGAATGAATTCAGCTTCATGGATGCGAGCGATGCGAGCATGTCCTACGAAATGTCAATGCCCTACGTGTTTTACTCCCCGGCAACGTTTTGTGTGTACATAGTATTTAATGAGGTCATGCTCCATATCACCTACGTGAGGTTAGTGCCCTTCATAGCGCACTTGTTTTTTAAGCCCTTTAACTCAGTCTTTCTTTATAAGGTGTTCAACGATTGCCACAATGCGTGAAGATGTCAGATTGCTCAGGCGCGTGAGCGACAAGCGTGCATGTTCCATGAATGATGACATTTAGCTTCTCATGTATGCCTACTCTTTATTCAATACCTAAGAGAACGGAAGTCTCACAACTGCTACGAGCTTCAGCGTAGAGCTATTTGGTGCAGCAGGTGATGGTGGTAGACTTTTTCTCGACCAATAAAAAGCTGTTGTTTGTCTCGTGGCACATCACAACTGTGACTCATTAGCTATCAGCATCGTAATGCGAAACGATAAAAAAAAACATACCTACGGCTTACGGGCATTATGGACCGTTCTGTGATTTGCCAAGCAATGTGCTAATGACCAATGCGGCTGGCTTGCTATTTGTTGATTAGATAACGCACTGCCTTGCTTTACTTCATCTAAGGCCCCTTGTAGCATGATCTTTTATGGGTTTGCGCTAAATTCAAAACGTCATCGTTTTGAAGATGTCCGCTGCAATAAAATAAGGATGCATCACCCACCTTGCGGGACTCTACCGTTTCCGTCCTGTGTCGCGCTGCGCCCCGCCATGGACCGCCTCTCGGACGGATGCTCGGCTATAAACAGTGATGATGCCCCACCGGTGTTTCTCCAGCCGCCAAAACATTTACAGTGATCGCACGACAGTAGAGCGTCTCTCGCTGGCGAGAGAGGAATCTGAAGGGCCGCGGTCCAATACACAGCACCCGAGAGGAACGTTTTAGGGCTAGCGGTCCTGTACCGGACCTGAGAAGGGAGACCGAACGGCGCCGGTCCAATACACAGGGAGGGGGTCTAAGGGGCGGCGGTCCAATGCACAGCACCTGAGAAGGGAACCAGAGGGGACGGTGGTTCTACATGTATGTACATACCGGACCTGAGAGGAGAATATGGAGGGCGGAAAGGGAATGGTCCTACATAGTATATACCAGATAATATTGTCGTACATATTCCTTTACACCAGAAAGGGAAAAGGAGTCTAACAGACCTCTAGCGAGTGGCGATTGAGACTCAGACAGGGGAAGACGGTCATAGACAGATACCGGGCCTTAGACGGGAGGCACGGTTTTGATGTCGCATTGAGTATAGGTATGTGCGGGCATGCGATAACCGTAATCGTAATGCCAGTGGCTGGACTATATTCCTCATCAAGCTTGCGGTCGGAGTTCCTTCGGCAGTTCACTCTTCCGTTCAATATTTTGCGTCTTTGAATGAAAGAGCTGTATATACAGAAATAACGCACTGCTCTCAGCAGGGCACTTCGGCCGCAAGCTTGATATGGAATAGAGTAAAGCTACGCTTGGTGAAGCTTCTGAAATCTGGTGGTGTCGTCGCTAGGTGAAAGGATTCTGTTTGTTCAAAACAACAAAGGTGTTTTCTGTTTCGTTTTGTGTCAGTTAGGGGCTGCTGTTTGACATAACACGCGTGAGAAATTCGTTGAAATTCGGTATGAAAACAGGGCGACTGTCAAACCTTCCGAAACATCCATCTCAAATATCACACTGGTGCTGGCCTACTCATTGAAATAGTGTGTCTTCTGTCCATGCATTTGTATGAAGGGATCAAAACGTTTAGATATGCTAGCGATTGGGAGAGATCAGGCTGATGAGCCTCATGCCGGTAGGGCAGTTGGCTCCAGTGGTGAAAATTTATCTACATTGTGATGTCAGCGATAAGCATGAGGACATGTCAAATGTTGGCACCGTGTTCACCTGTTGGTTTTCCGTGCCAAGCGGTCCAATATTGACCCAGCAGGCCAGAGTCGGCGGCGGGATCTCCGAGCCTCATCTGTCTGTCCCCATCGGCCGTGGTGCCTGCCGGCTGCCGCTGCCGGTACGGGAGGCCGACCGACGAGGTGGGAGGGTACCCAGACCTCGCTGCACCGAAAACAGATGCGTTTCCCCTGCTGGTCGGCAGGCTGGGGTGGGACAGAACCCCGGCCCCGCTGTAAACGGGTGTCCTAGCCCCACCGTTCGGCCACCTGAGTGACGTCACAGCTCACGTCTCGTTGAAATTTAAGACAATAGCGGCACTTCGACGACGGTCTCGGCGCGGCAGCGGCGCCCGGCGCACGGCGCGCCACCTGGAGCCAATCCAAGCGCGGCTATTTCGGTCGGCCGACGCGCCACTAGCGCCGCCCAGCGGCGGCCGCGCCAGTCACCCGGCCGTCCGGCGGCGGCGGCGGTGCCAAACCAAGCAGCCGGCGCCGGCACCGACGGCCGGCCCTCGGCCAGTGCGCCTGGCCTTGGAGCGCGACCGCGACTCACCGGGGAGGCGACCGCGCGTCTGCCGCCGTCACCGATCGCACCGCCAACCGGCCGGCCCTCTCCGACCACTGAGACCCACTGCAGAAGAGCAGGGACGGGGAGACGAGAATCGATGGACAAAACGCATGAGAAGGAATGAAAAGGCGATCAACTTCATGTTACTTTCTTACCCGCTGTGTTAGTGAATTCGTGAGGATGTCTGACCTCTGAGTAGACCGACAGTTGGTGGGAGCGCGGCGCGATCCCTGACGCCCCTGACCATGATCCTGACCATGCTCTGATTGGGATTGACTCTGGTGTGCCTCTGGTCACTGGTCCGGGTCAGTACCAGGTCACTTTACTGACAAAAAAAAAATGTATGATAGGCGAGCCGTTCCGCTATACACGGATTTATTTGTGGACATGTCAAAAAACCTACAACACACGAGATTTTAACCCGCGCACCGACGGGGGGGGGCGGATATCCGCCCCCCCCCTGAGGTTTTTCGCGGATAGCGGGAAAACCGCGGCGCGTAGCGCCGCGAAATTTGGTATGACTATTCTCTCATCAATTTTACACATGGTGTGCAAGTTTGAACCTCCTAACTTTTAAGGTCAGGTCACCAGGTCACTTTGAATGACCCAACCTCAAGTCACTTTTTTG